GATATTCCTTACCTCGATTTCAGAAGTTTTTATAACATTCAGTATGTTGAAATATTGTGACGGGCAGTTAGATTTTTTGAAGTTGTCAGAATATAATTTTACGAACCTGTCTTGTTACTTTCATTAATTTTCGAAGTAGCTACACAACATTAGATATTCTCTCAACCTGCGGTTGATAGAATAAACCACCTACTATATCAATATTATACCATTTTTCTTTTTGAAAATCGGTCGACGTGTTCCAAATTAGGAGGGTGCGCTGCGGGTTGAAATCGCACACACTGTATATCTTTGAAGCCGTTGTGTCAAAGTCAACTTCTGCCAAACAACCGGTGGAATGCCAACTACAATTATTCAAATTACACCCTATACATTGTCGATCTAAATGAAAACCTAGTAGGCGACCTAGTGCGAGGAGGAAATAGTTCCTGCCTACTAACTACCTTACTAGGTTGTCATCTAGAACGACAATGCCCTAAGGGCTATACATTTTTTTTTTTGTTGATTTGTGAAGTGCAATCAATTCTAACTTCAACTTCATAAATCCTGGAACCTCAACACTCTCTTCCTAATCCCACGTTTGTGAACACATGTTGATTGGAGAAAAAAATCCTATTTCGACCTGCGGAAAATATACGCCATTAAAATCTTGTTACTGAATTTCGAAACACCCTGTACCTGTACATGGGCAAACTTTTGATTGTATTTTGTTGAGTTCCCTAATACCCATACGTCATAGCCAAATGTCCAAAAATATTAATTTTGATGCCAATATGTTCATGAATCACGCTGGAATCATCAAAGTGGATAGGGATTCGTTCAACATTTTATCAAATAATATACTTATTCTATGCCTACCTATCCCATAATTGAAAATGGTTTTATCAAATAATGTATCGCCAAATTGTTATTTGTGCTGATAAGATATAGATATCAATTATTGACGATGCGCTCATTTTTTTATATTTTTCTCAAGTACTTACCAACCTACACTTACACTACCTACTTACACTGTGTCCAAGATACGGATGTCTATCATACAGTGTGGAGACTTTAACTGGAATAAATTCGTTAGCGGGGGAAGGTGAATATATTTTTTTAAATTTCCCGACATACGTCACATCGATTTAACGTATTTACCTTTACCTTTTGCAAGCAATATCGAGAATATATCCATGCAGGGGTAGCTGAAACCACCCTCAACATGATTTTTTCAAATGTAACCCTATATGGCTTGTGACACCTCATTGGAAAGCTGGTGGAAAGAGGAATCCAGCGTACTAGTCAAATTATAGTTTTTCATACGTTTAGAGCTAGGTTGCATACAATTGAAATGGAATTTTAAAATTCATTTTTTTAAACGTTTCAATCGCTCAAAATATGTGTTGAACAATTGACGGCAATTTTTTGCCACTATTGCTATCTGCTGTTGTATTAATTCCAGTGTTTTTATAGAGCCGCAAAGAGAAACTTAGTTTTTTTGAAGTACCCATCAGTTAACACAGGATATCTTATGGATATCCATTTCAAGTCCTATCCAAGGCGGATATCCGTGGACATAAAATGTATATCCATAAGATATCCGATAGCGGATGTACTTGAGATATCCGAAACAAACGTCCTGAATACGTCCATAGGATCTTCATAAGATACAGAGACAAAAGATCGATACCTAGAAATTTCAAATCAAGTATATACAATGAATGAAATGATAAATAAATAAAAGGAGATCCACAAAAGTAACACGTGTGCGTGGGACTTCCAAAAGATAGCACACATTGTGATGCACTATCTGCTATTATTATTATTAATTCGGTTTTCAAAAACAGCTTGAGGTGGTGTAACGTCTAAAATAGTCCAAGATTGGTAGAACTGATGATTATTTATAGATCATCGATTCTACCAAACTTGGAATAGTCAAATAATGTCAATATTTAATCATTTTGAAGTGAATTTGGAAGTGATTCCTACGAATTCGTCCAAAATTGATGATGCATTAGAACTGACAACTACATTATTCGAACGCAGTGAGACGTGAGTGCTTCCCAATTTTTGTGATTTTTTTCTATATATAGGGTATACTTTCTCTTATCCATATCCATAGTTGATATCTTATGGATATCCAAATGAATATCTTTGAGACATCCAAAAAGGTCACACTGTCACATCCTATGGACGTCCATAGGATATATAAGAGCCTTTTTCGAATATCTTATGGACATCCACCTACGTCCAATGGATGCCCATATGTGGACTATATATGTATGGAAAATATATTCATAATGTGGTTCTGAAGATGAGTAATCATTGGGGTTCAGATAGTCACTGTATGGACGTACATATAGAATTTGAAGTGAACTATGGTCGTGAGTATACAATTATACATGTAAACAGTTTTATTATTCCTTTTTTCATATGAAGGTATATTATAGCTCTACCTTTTCAGTTTCATTTTTATCGAATTATTTTGTCCTCAAAAAATCAGGATAACTATATATATCTTGTCAGTTTTTTAAATTAATGCTATGATAGTACAGTCGTCTTCAGAGATAATGTCGCGGTTGGACGGTGTCAGCGCTCTTATTGCAGGAGTTATTAAGAATGCTATCATCGTCCATGTGCGACATGTTTTCTGAAGATGACTGTACCTATGTCTTTATTACTCAAATCTTTCATGAATGTCGTGAGTCGAAAAATCTTCAGCAACTTATAATAATGCTGGAAAACCTATTACAGATTTTGTTGAACTCGACATCATCCTAATTATGATGGCTGAACAAGAGCAGAATGACGAAATTTATGCAATAAATTCTAAGCATATGTTGTATTTATATTAAATGATATTACACTGTACCTTACAGATATGTTTGTAATGAATAATATTTTATATGAGTATGTGTTCTTTGTTTGGATATCCATTGACTGCTTTCAGTTTTTATGTCCATTGAACAGCCGTACATTCATTGGACGTCTCTAATGGACATCCACTGACTGCTTTCAATTTACGTCCATTGGACATCCTGATCGAATGTACGTTTATTAGTTATCTTGAATGTACGTTCATTGAACATCCTGAATGTACGTCCACTGTACATCCTGAATGTACGTCCATTAGACATCCTGAATGTACGTCCATTGAACATCCTGAATGTACCTCCATTGAACATCCTTGATGTACGTCCATTAGCCATCCTGAATGTACGTCCATCAGACATCCTGAATGTACGTCCACTGAACATCCTGAATGTACGTCCATAAGATGATGAATCCATGCAGTGAGGTGCATGTGGACGTTTTCTGAACGTTCCAATGTACATGACTGGACGTTCAATGGACGTCCACTATGTCCATGTTGTACATCCGTTGGAGATTCATTGGATGTACATTATTGTACATGTGCTATATGGGGAGGGGTCGCGAGCTCTATATATCTGCGCGGTTGCATTTGAAGAAAACATGTTGGTGTTGATTCCAGCTATAGTTACCCCTGATGGGTTGTATTCTCCATATTGCTCGCCAAATATAGGTAAATACATTCAAACATTGACGTACGTGTCTCGCGAATTTTCAGAAAAATCATACACACCCCCATCAGTAGCGAATTTATTCCAGTTTAGGTATCCACCCTGTGTATGAGGATCGATTTTATTTTTTTTCTGACGTTTAGTATTATAAGTATTTGAAGCTATATAGCGAAAAGCAAAAGATATACTTTGTCATTTTGTCACTTCACAAAACATCAACTTTATTTGAATGATATCATTATAGATATCTCTGCTTATATCGATCGTGTGTCTCAACTCCTAGAAAGATTGCTATAGGAAGTAAATCAAGCACGTTTGGATGCCTAGGCCATCAGTGGTTGAAAACATATTATGCAGGGTGTTCCTTAATGACATGCTAATATTCAAGGGGGTGATTATTCGACCCATTTCAAGAATAAAGCTTCACATGAACGTATGTCGATCGTAAAAATCCTAACTTTTGATATACAGCTAGGGTATCAAAGTTGAAAATATGCATAGATTTTTTTTGTGCACCCTGTATAGCTTTTCATGATGAAAAAACTCAAGTCTACTATGTGACTGAAACGGAGCAAAAATTTCTAAATGTCACCTCTACTGTGGTTATCCAGTAATTGATAATGGAGTATACTCATCAGCTTAGCATTTATATCAAAATTTGAAATCTGGTCTCGTTTTTCCGATTTTTCTCGAAAACGGAGCATTTTATCGAGTATCAACAGGAGGACCTTTTTTGCACAGAATTGAATGGCCTTTCATAGGATTGTATGAAATTTGGAAATATTCCTTCGTTGGCTCACTTTTAAGTAAAATATAAACAATAATATCCCCCAAACGGCGCCACTGGTAGAGAGAATAAAAGTTTGTGTACATCAGAAAATGCACCTTGATGCATAGGAGACATGTACCAAATTTGGTAAAGATGTCTACAATTTTACTGTGTCTCAGTTATTATTAAAAAAACTGATTTTTTTCGAAACTTCATCGCCCTGTATCTCAAAAGTTAAGACTTTTAAGACATACGTTCATAGGATAGGAAGTTTTTATCTCAAAATGAGTCAAAGAATCACCCCCTCAAATATTAGCATGTCTTTAATAAGGAACACCCTGTATAGACATTTTATCTATGAAAATGATATGAAAATGAGAAAACCCATTATGGAATTAGGTATAAAAAACAGATGACTATAATGCTGATCAGAAGGAAGTTACAAAATACGAAATCTGTGATGATTTTGAAGAATTTTTCAGTTTTACATTTTTTTGAAACGTGAATCTAATGTTATCGGTACATTGCTAAACGAGTGAAGAAGAAAATTGGTTATGTTCAGAGACGAAGGCCAATAAAATGAGAAGGAACGAAATTAAAGCCCTAAAAGGCACCGGAATACATAAGAAGCACTGACGTTTGGCAGTTCTGACACTGACAGAACTAATAACAAGTTGTGGGGTGTGGAAGTGAGGTGAGGTGAGGAGAGGACGAAAAATGAAAACATTTTGAATGAAGAGAAGAGAAAATATTTTTTGACAACTATTATGAATATTATTATCGAAATAATCGAAAAGATCTATAAATAATAATAATACGATAAGAACATTGGGAATATGTGAATAAATATCAACATGTTATAATGTAATCTTCCAAAATTACTGATATATTGGTACAAACAAGGTACAAATCCATAAATTCTATCTACAATAAAAATGGCAACACAAGAAAAGCTTCAAAAATCCTTGGAAGCTCTGAAAAACTTAGCAAAATCCAACCACCATCCTTCAGAAGTTCCAAAGTAAGTAATGATTCAAACTATCATGTCCCAACAATACTACATGATATAATTTTTTCACAGGAAAAAAGAAAAGATTCAATATTGCTATTTCATAACAGAAGCTATTTCCAACCCAACAATCAGAATTCCCAACAATTACCATACACTATTGGGTAGCTGTATTGAAATATTTCTTTTACTTTGTGATGACCAAGATGCAGACATTCGAATGACTAGTGAGGAATGTTTGAACAGGATAATCAGGGTAATTATTCCCATATAAACCTCATGAGTTGGTATAAAATGTATTTGTTCTAAGGCTGCTGATGGGCACATAGGTAAAATACAAATAGAGCTACACAAAGAGATAAAGAAAAATGGAGCTGCCCGTTCCCTCAGAGCAGCTCTTTGGCTTTTTTCTGTACTTGCACATCACATCAGACCCCACAAAGGCAAACCCTATGCTGTAAATGTGTTTCAAAATTTAGTGAAGATATCAGAACGTACTGAAGAATCTATTCATGAAACTCTGGCTGCTGCTTTACCAAGAATCATGAAAGTCCTTGGTTGTTTCACAACAGAAAATGAAATGAAGGTGAACAAATTATCAAAACAAGTGTTAAATTGAGGAGATTTATGTGTTGTATTTCTAGGTGCTCCTTAAAGCTTTCTTGAACAATGTCACAAATGAATCAGCTGTTATGAGAAGGACTAATACAAGTTGTATTTTAACAATATGTGAACACTGCAAAAAGCCAAATGTTTTCACTATGTATTGCTTCAACTACCTGCTAGGTAAGTTATAACTATCCCTGTAACAAGTCCAGGAAAGTACCTAGTAATTTGTTATAGATTTATTGATACCTGTACATAATGAACTTCCAACTTCACTAATATTGGGTGTCATGTCATGCATAAAAGGCTCTCTACCAAATATTTCAAACTCCAACAATGAATGGAATGAAAAATCCAAAGACAACCTTATAGAAAAGCTGTTGCAGATTTTCGAGCTATGTGTATTTTTTTTGGATCATAGAGATCATAATATCATCAATGTTTGTCTTGAAACTCTAAATGTTCTCTTAATGAGTTCAGTTGATTTGAAACAGATATTGCTGAATGAAAAAGGAATCAGCAGGAACAGAATTTTTTCTTTGACATCTTCAGTGAATAATAGATCTCCAAGTAGGTATAATGAAACTCATAAGCATAGCTATACTTGAAATAGTTCTAATTCAAAAATACAAAATTCTAGGTCAACTAAGTCTTACAACAAGTTTAACAACTGAAGATAATCTATTCTCAGAATCAGAACTGACAGAAACTATACATTCAGATATAGAAAAGTGGATAGATGAATCTAAATTATCTGTGATGAACATAACTTTTGGTAAAACAAAGGAAAAATCTCAATCCTTGGAAAAATTGCACACTATCTCTTCAGAAGTGGAGGAAAATCTTGATACATCTGATTATGGAAAAATGAATGAACTGAACAAGGAGCATTTTTTCAGTACACTGAAAACTCATAGCATAGAAAACACTTTAGATATACTGAGCAGTAGTGATAACTCATCTGAAACAAGTACAGTTGATGACAAAATCCTGAACTTGGAGGAAGAAATGCTAGTGAGTGATCAAAATATTTTTGGAAAAATACTCCAAAAAATTAGTATTATATTATGTTTTTTGTAGGATATTGATATTGGAAATATTTTAGAAGAAAAACCTCTCATACACTGCATTAGAAAAATATCTAAATTATTCCTTCTCAGTGGAACACCTGGTACCTACATTTCTGACAAAACCACAAGAGTTTCTGTGAAATTTTTAGCATTATCCTGTCTCACTACAATGTTCAAACTATATCCTTCAGGCATTTTCATACATCTAGACAAAAACTTTGTTTGTCCTCAAATAACAAGTAAAAGAATTAGCAGTCAGAAAATCTCTGATATATTTCTGTTTAAAAACCATTCAGATCCTCAATTGAGAGGAGCTTTGAGAACTTTGGTGGGCATTTTTTCAGAGAGTGTTTCACGTTTATGTCAAGGTAATTATGATCATTGGATAAGTACAAATGGCAGTATAGAACAAGCTAAAATGATGCAGACTGAAGAGATAATAACAATTTTCATAGAGGTTTGTTTATAACTGACCTGAAAAACTTGTTAGATGAATGTTCTGATATGATCTCAATTTATTTAGGGTCTTAATGATGATTCATCCACTTGCATCCGACAGACATTGATAAGTTTGGACACTAGCCTCAAATATTTGATAGAATTTCAGTCCAATAGTAAAATGATGTCTCTGTTGAATGTTTTACCAGTGCTTTCTCAAAATCCATATTGGCTGGTCAAGGTAATGTTTCAAAATTCCCCTTCAGAATCCCTCTGGATTTTTTTTTTCTTTCAGTGTGCATTGTGTGATTTAGTCTCTAAAATAGATTTTATTAGCTTGCAATCTGTGATGAAAAATTGCCAATTTCAAGATAGAGTGCTTTGGAATGTTTTATTTGCACTTTTGGATGAAAATGATCAAAGAGTGAGAATGTCCACTGCTACAGCCATAGTTGAGTAAGTATAGTAATAGATTTTCGAAAAGTTTCAGTAGGTCCTAAGTTTTCTGTTCTAAGGAAAATTCAATATATTATACAGGCTGATTCACGGTGGATGGCACATTAGACGTTTCTGGTGAACCAGACAACGGATCATTTTGTAAATTCAATGGAGGGCATATTCGAACATTCTCTAGCCAACTAAAATATTTTCGACAATGCGGTGTTGCCGCTTCTATTAGAAAGCAGTAGCAACTTTGATTTTTCAAATGGAACACTCTGTATTTCATTGCATTTTTAGATTCTCCCTGAAGAGCAGATTTCATCGATGTATCACACTTGGGGTCTAGCGGAAATGATAACAGAGATATAAGGTGTGAAAAATCGACATTTTTCAACTTTAGGAATTTTTTTTGTCGAAACTATTCATTATTGGTCAAAACGGCTCACATGTCCCTATCTCAACTTTTGATCAATTATCTACTAACATTTAATTGAAACAAATACAGGGTGGTGCAGAATTCAGAATCTTGATCACCCGGTATATGTCCCAATTAAATATCAGTAGATAGTTAATCAAAAGTTGAGATAGGGACATGTATGCCGTTTTGACCAATGATGAATAATTTCGACACAAAAAAATCCTAAAGTTGAAAAATGTCAATTTTTCACACCCTATATCTCTGTAATCATTTCCGCTAGACCCCAAGTATGATACATCGATGAAATCAGCTCTTCAGGGAGAATCTAAAAATGCAATAAAATACAGAGTGTTCCATTTGAAAAATCAAAGTTGCTACTGCTTTCTAATAGAAGCGGCAACACCGCATTGTCGAAAATATTTTAGTTGGCTAGAGAATGTCCGAATATGCCCTCCATTGAATTTTCAAAATGATCCGTCGTCTGGTTCACCAGAAACGTCTAATGTGCCATCCACCGTGAATCAGCCTGTATATTAAAGAAAACTCACCTCAGAAACAATATTCAATGAACACAAGTACAATATACAAGCAAGTATCAAGGTATCAAATACAAATTTCAAAAATGTTTATGATTAACATTTTGACTGTCCCTCTGACGGACCTCAGCAGAACTTATAAAACATTCATATCCATGGATGCCAGTTGAAGTCAGATGTTTGATTTTTGTTAAATCAAACCTTGTGTGCCTGTTGAGAGCCCATTTATTTTATTGTTTCATCATATTCACAGATATTGGCGGCGAATTTGAAAATCGTAAATGATTTGTCTTTTTACATTTTTGATTATCAACTCTCTTTTCAAAGAATCAAATCATTTTTCAGGATAATTCCTCGACTATATTATGAAGAATACTTTATGAACGAAAACACCACGACTTCAAAGGCTATTTTGGAGACTAGTGGCCTAACAAAATGTCTCATGGACACAGAAATAGAGACTTGCATAAATAAAAAGCACTTTGTGCAACAAATGCCCTTCCCCTTAGATCGGATATCTGGAAGACCTTGTGATAGGATCGAATTTTCTCTATCGAAAATCTTAACTAGGATACAAAATTTACTGTTAACGACCACCTCAAAACATCTAATGGCAAGTCTCTAAACAAGATACATTCGTTTTTGATGTTGCCCGATGTGTTATTTGAAGTTTTGTATTTTAGAGTGGCTGCATAGAGACTCTATCTCTACTTTCGAAAAAATATCCCTGCACAGTCTACAAGAAAGGTTGGGGTACCAGTATCACTCCGAATTGTGGTGATACAAAAATTCCGGATCTATTGAAGTTCTCTCTGGGTTTACTAACTAGCACTGTTCACGTCTATGGACTACAAACACACATAGACATCCTCAATTTAACCACCAATCTCTATGCAGGTAAAAAAACTTCACAAAAAAAAAATACTGTAACGAAATATAAAGAAAGTATTACAAAAAACTAGGACACATAGGTACATCGAAATTAAGATCAAACAAGGTATACGTTGCAGTTATGACATATCCAAGGAATATTTTCATAATATTAATGTTGGCAGTTCAATGTAAACAACGTTTAATCCAGGAGGAACAGTTTCATCAAATACCAAATGATTCAATGATTGGCTACAATCATGCATTGTTATTGGTTAAAATATCCAATATGTCAGATTTTGACAGTTAAAAAAAATCACAATGTCAATGGTACAATTTTGACAAGTACTAGTTGGTTATTTTGTCAGTAATTTAGCAACCGTTTGCTGTACTCCCTAGGGACTGAATGGTTCACTTTAGTCTCTATTTGAAGTACACTCTTTAGTCCCGAAGTACAAAAACATATTAGAATGGTTTCAGAATGGGTTGCAATTGATGGAATTAAACACAATAGTTAATAGAAGCAATTACTTTTTTAACCAGGCGCAGCCGAGTTTAAAAAATAGTCGAGATCATCAAAGTATTTCGCGCACGAGTTGCAAACAATATTTTTGTACAAACCTAAAAAATATTGGTCTAAGCTTTGCTTAATATAAAAAATAGTGTTGAACTGGCTTAAAAATCCTTAATAATTGTCGGTTTCATTTTTGCTTACACACCTTGTCCTCTTTTCTTACCAACCTATTCAAAAAATAGATAATGAAAAATTGACTTTCTCCCCTTCTGATATCGACTGTACTCATTTTGTCTCTACTTTGAGATCATTATCAACCATTTCAATTCACAGTTGTCAATTCTCAATGTGAAGTTGTTATAGTCCCGAATAGCCCCATCTAAACTTGTGAATTTATCTTCGGTTTCATTTTTGCATACACCTTAGTTCTCTTTCCTTACCAACCTCCTCAAAAAATAGATACTGAAAAATTGACTTCCTCCAGGACATGCTCTGTCGCAACTGAAACCCTTATCGGCCTCCGAAACAGACCTTCCAGCCTGGAGCATGTTCGGCAACTCGCCCTTGCGAGACGTGTCCGAATCCCTCCTGAACCACTCCATCAAGATGCTGAGCATCTTCCACCACGTTTTGAACGATCTGGTGCCGGCCCATCCTCAGGCAAAAGCGGTGTTGCCCAGTCTGCCGGCGCCGAGCGCTTTGTCGCCTTTGAAGCGCAGGAAGAGCGATCTGGACAAGAAGGCGATTGGAGGATTGAAAATGGATGCTAGGGAGGAGAGGGGAGACAAGAGGGAGGTGAAGAGTTCGTTGGGGTGTTTTGTGCAGGCTCCGCATTACATGAGGATTTATGAGATGTTGAAAGCTGCCTTTTCGAATTATAAGGTATTGGAAATTTCTCAGGTGCTCCATTATACTACACTGTTTCACCACTAACCAAACAGGTGCTTTAACGCCTCAACAAGTGTTTCGCTAACTATATTTGCAACCTCAATAGTAGATTGAAAATGAATATCTTATTCTAGTATGCTGCACCACCAAAAAGTATCCAAAAGTTTATGACATTTTCTTCAAAACTACATGTCCGATTTGGACGTTTCATATTTTGAATGAAAGGTTATCTCCTGAATATTAGCGAGCACACTGAATTCGCATAAAAAGTTTAATTTTAAACATACCAGGTTAGCTATTATAGCGTGTTTTTTCACGAAATGTTTAATACCCAGTAGAGTGCAACTGTTACATTGTCAAGTATCAAGTTAGAATTGAAATTACACTTTAACCTTATCTTTTTTCAATATTCTTTTTTTGGATTCACTCCATTATCTTTCATATCACCTCATAAACATAATTTTATAGCAAAATATTATTTTATTGAATTCAATCAGCATTATAAGCACACAAGTAGAAGGCTATGGTCTGGGAAGGAATTTCTTTAAAAGGTCGCATGGAACTTGTGATCATAAATGAAAGCCTTACAGCTGAATGGTACGTATTGGTGATTTTATAATCACATAAATAGTGCAAGGATTTTTGTTGATGCAACATAATGTCAGGCCTCACGTCGTCCTAGTTGTGAGAAATCATCTAGATGAAGTCTGTATCGCTACCATGGTATGGCCAGGTCGGAGCCCGGATTCAAATCCTTTTGAGAATCTCTGGGACATTATTGGGACAAGATTACGAGGGCAACGTTAGTTGAATACTTTGGAAGACGTAAGACAGAGACTGATTCGAATTTGGGAAGACCTGGACAGACATGAAATAAGTTCTCCTATTTTAAATATGGGCCGTCTTTGCCAAGAAGTTATTCGTGCCCAAGGCGGAAATACTCGTTACTGACCCTTTCGCTGAACTTACGACTTCGCATTCTGTTTCGTTTCTTGGTGGTTAAATTTGGATATCAATTTTCAATAAATTCATGTTATGGTATAAAATTGTGTTTCTCGAGTAATAAAAAAGAAATGTTGAGAAAAGATAAGCTTTTAAAAATTATTAAAGTTCCCTTTCGTGCGCTCCAAGAGATGAAAATAAAATCGATTCTAACTTGATAGTGTAACTATTACACTCTACAGGGTATTACTAATTTCATGAAAACACACGCTATAATTGCTACACCCGGTATGTATAAAAGTGTTTGTTTATGCAAATTAGGATGAATGAAAATACATTTTGCACACCAATGTTCAGAAGGGGTGGTTTTTCTGATATTGTCCATATGCAGATTTGAAATAGCTTGAAGGACCAAATTTTATAAAGTCAGCTTGTTCCAAAAGCAGTTCTCATAGTTCTCAAGTGAGCTTACAACGAAGAAAACTTGCCTTGGAGATGGAAAAGAAACGGCAAGATTTAGAAAGACAGCAACTTGAGATACAGAATAATATGAGGTTATTGCAAATGGAACAAGATCTGGAAAATGCACGATTAGATGCCATAGAAGAACTTCAAAGCAACAAAAGTATTACGCAGGGCACGAACAGAGTGATAGATGATCACATTTGGTCAAACCGTTCAAATGTGATGTCAAGTTGTTTATATCCCAAACACTTGATTGATACGAAAATTACTTAATTATCAGATGATGAAGCGGAATCTGCTGTTAATCAAGAATGCGTATATGATTGGGTAGAGAAATCAAATAAAATAAATAAGTTGTCAGATTAATATAATTTGTATTACTGTTCATTCTGAGAGTAAGAAATATAAACATGTAATTCAAAACGAAAAACCCATAAATCAGCCGACTAGTTTTGACGAAAATGTATCATAAACTTCTTGGGGAAGTTTAATTTGATGAGAACACATCAGATTCAGAGAAAAATTCATAGTCAAATCTGACACCTACTACCAAATGATTGAGAACTTAATTAAATTTGTTCTAGATGTCTTTGGATTCGGACTCTTCTGGAAAATTCCTGGAACTACTCACCACGACTCTTCATTCATTGTCCGTCCTCATGGAGGTGGGATCCATGATGGAGTTCGAAAGAATCGCCGAGGACATTCTAGGTTACTTCCGGTCCACTTTCGTGATAGAAGCAGCTGCCACTGTGGAGTGCGTCCAACAGCTATTGAAATGTCTTTTCAGTACCAATTTGACAGCGAACGTCAACGAATTCACTACGAAAAACGTCACAGAAGAGGTAATCCTTCACAGATCTAGAGTGTGTTGAATACCTTTTAAGTGAATGGACATTTAGTTGTCAATGGTTGTCATGTGCTAAAAACAGCAGTATGAGACACATTCATATCTCATAAAAGATGGAAACGTAATGATAATTGTTCCATGAAACCAGTGGAAACATATGTTTTGTAACACGAAATTCCAGCCTATAACAAAGCTGTGGTGGAATAATGGACACAGCATTGATGTGATTCAAAAGACCTACTTTTTACTGGTGCTAGCACTAGCGTAACTTCATTATCTTGGTGGACTTGGACCGCTTAAGTGGCTTTCACATTGATAATACGTCAATTCACTTTTAGAACTGATCAAATTTATTCTGTTGCATGCACAGGCCGTATACGTGTATATCTATTATGGCCGACAGTAGGACGTCCGAGCACTGTTGCCAATTCTGTGAACCACAAGCCCTTTTTCAAAAGATGGTTGTGACTAAATAGTCATTTTGTAGTTACAGAGGAAGATCCATTAACATTTTCAATGTTGGCATCATTGTAAATTCAGCAGCTGTCAATAAGTAGGAAGCCTCAAACGATCTGCTTTAATGCATCCAAGTTTTCAATTGTGTTCAGCATGTTCTAATTTGTTCTTTGCGTAGGACGATCAAATGGGCTTGTTTCAGTGAACAATTTCATTTGGAAGTACTAACCCTTACTAGTTCATTGTCGCAAACCGTTTTCCCCCCCAGAGCTCTGTTCAAAAATAATTATTGAATTCACATGTAAAACGCAGGAAAACGCATGACGTAATCATCCTTATTTGCAAGACAAGTGCAAGAATATTTCTGATTGCCATTTCAATTAAAATATGAAAAAAATTCGCCTCAGGTTTTTTTTTTGTCGAGGTGGTTTAAATCCTTTATGGACACCATATGGGTCCTATCCCCCATATGGTAGTGTGGGACTCCCCTGACTCTAGCCAGGATTTACCCACTAAAAACTCCACCCCGTTTGTAGGCTCGTCTGACCATGTCTCCGACGACACTTAGGCCTATGGTGGCCAATTGTATCTTACCTAATGTTCTTTATTGTGCCCACTCCATTATCTCTGTACCTTGAACAAGTCTGTACAAATCCTTCACTGGATGTGAGTTGAATATTTCTGGTTCGCCAACTGGTTGCCCAAAGATCTTCTGTCTTCTGCGGTCCAATGCCTCACATCGGCACAGTATATGTGCTACTGTTTCTGGTTCCTTGCCACATAGTCTGCAGCTTGGGTCGCCATTGTACAGTCCCATTCTGGTGAGATGCTCCTTTACTGGCGCGTGGCCAGTCATGAGCCCCGTAACAGTTTTTATATGTGCTCTGTTCAAGTTGAGCAGGTCTACAGTTCGTTTATGAATTGGTTACTTAATGTATTGTTTCCCATGTCTGTTTCTTGGGATGTTTTCCCAGTAGCTCTTATGTTTTGACTGAATCCAGTCTTTAACTGACCCTCGTGCTGTACGTTTTGGTACTCCAAGAGTCTGTCCTGGATCTGGCTCGTTGTCCGACCCTCTTCTTGCGAGTTCGTCAGCCTTCTCATTGCCAGCGATCCCCTGATGACCTGGCACCCAGATTAGCTTGACGCAGTTCCGGTCTGCCAAAGTTCTCAGTTCCCTCTTGATATCCCATACCAGTCGAGATGTCACTTCCTGGCTTTCTATTGCTTTAAGTGCCGCTTGACTGTCTGACATAATACGGATCTGCTCGTTTTCCACAGCTCTCCTGTTATTTTCTTCCGCACATTGGAGAATTGCGTACACCTCTGCTTGGAAAACTGAAGCATACTTCCCCAATGAGTAGCTGAGGCTAGTTTCCGGATGTTTGGAGTATACTCCTGCTCCTGACCCATTCGCAGTCTTGGACCCGTCTGTATACCAGATCTTTCCCTGCAGTATGGTGCTGAGTTCTCCGTCATTCCATTCAGATCTGTCTGGTATGGACACTCAGAAGGTGCTCGCCCTAGACTCTAGTGAATTTTCTGAACTGAATACTTTCTGCAGATACCAGAACACAACACAAAACTGAAGAATCAGATAATAGGAGAAATATCTTTGAATATTCGCATCTTGACTAGATGACACAAGGATTTGAAGATGAAGGTGACTATAGGAAGTTAGGTTGACAATGTAGTTCATCTTCTTCTTTTCTTCTTGTATTTCTGGGAACTGTAGGCATTACGCTGTTGCCAATGCCACAAAATAATTTGAGTTTAAATAAAATCTCGATCATTATTAGGAATACTAGGATATTTGTATTGGTACTGAAGCATCTGGCAAGTATATAATTATTCAATAAGTGATTATCAGGGACCAGGTTGAACTATTGTCTTCTGTGAATGTGAATACTGTTTTCATTGATCATATTGAATCCCAAATTACTAGTCACAAATCTGGCAGCGTCGAAATATGTGGTCCTAATGTTTTATGCGAAAGCCAAAATTCAGATAATGATGACTTTCCGTTCGGTTCATGACGTCATCGCAGCTGGCTTTTTTGAGGGTGCCGAATTTCATTATTAAAAAAAATATATTCCTGATGATTTTAAATAACGAATAATTGTATCAAATACTATTTATACACGGAATGATCAATATGAAATAGGTTTGTGGCGTAAATTCGACTGGTGTGTATATCCCCATTGACCACTTTTTTTATGTAAACATCCATAGAGTTCATAAATTTGTTGTTCATGTCATGCCATTGTTGTTGTTAATGGATCTGCTTATATTTTGACCCCTAACAATATCTGCATTTTGATCATCTAGACTCCAGAATATTCTCTAGCATGGAATGTCAAAGATATTTGAGGCACTCCATTCAAATCCAACCTTTCTGACTAAAATTACGATATTTTTTTAAGGAATGGGAAGGCGGGTTCTACTACAACGTGTTCCAGAAGCCCTACAACTTGATCTCGAAGCAAACAGAGGCTCTGAATAATATCGGCAGGCACGATTTCGATGACGACAGTACCGTTATGGGGTACCTGCACAGAAAAGACGTCAAACCGAGGCCGGTCGTATTGTCTAGAAGTTCTGATAAGGTTTTGGCGAACTATATCAGAATTTTCGAGCCGATGGTCATAAAATCTCTCAAGGTAAAGAGGAAGTTTTCCTCGAACGAATTGTCATAGAATTATTATTCAACTACCTAGTGTTAGGTTTCTGATGTCTAGAACGGCAATTCAAATTATTCAATACACAGCAATTATTAGAATTATTAATGGAGCAGGCTAAGGCGTACATTTGGATATATTTTTCTCTGATAAGTTTCTTAACGTATTTACTTGATGACTAGGGCAGACCATAGCACAGTTGCCAAATACGATTGGGAACTTCAGAGATAATTAGTTATTCAATAATTCCTAAATTCTCAATTGAGTATTGGTAATATTCCTAATCAGCAATAAAAATTCAATTGTCTCGAATTGTTCCCTTATTGCTTATGATAAATTTGTGTATAAAATAATCATATTAATTCACACTAGAGGACATTTGTATCGGGAACGTGACAACACGGCGCACGACTTGTGATTGTGGTCTTGTCAGTTCTCAGCATTCAGCACAATGTTGCTAAGTCTCTAACATTTACATGATATTTTGTTATGGAGAATAAGAAATATTTGGACATGCTGGTTGCTCGAATAAGTCAAGAATGAACTATAATACCATAGGCTCCTCCTATTATGTTTTATTCATCTTTTTGATAACTCGATTATATTTGATGACTTGACAACCTTGCTTCATGAGTGGAAATGAAAGATCATCTGACCAATAAAGAAACAGCATAAAAAATGACCTCACCATTTATTCGACATATTGCCAAATGGCGGCCATGAGGGTTCGTTTGATATGAGCTCTGAAATTCTTCAATTTCGAAAAACGCATAGACTCATAAAAAATGCGTGAGAAATGTTGCAAAATTCAATTTAGGTTCATAACGACACAGTGGAGTAATTGAATGCCAATAATTCAATATCAGTCCACTCACCCATTTCCACCCATACTATTGGTTTAATACCATTGTTAACAATGTTATTAGGACGAATTTTCCCAAATCATTAGATTCATCAAGCAATCTTGTAACGCTGTACTGGCGTAATACGGCTCGCATATTTAGCTGTGCATACTTGGCTTTTCTAAGTAGTGCGCCATGAAAATGGTGGAGGAGCCGAAACTATATCTGCGAATTTTCTCTGAACTCAAATTTGATCGAACGAAAGAAATTTGCTCATTGGTCAATAATTATGATTGTATGAATAGCTATGGCAAGAGTATTAATGCTAGAATACTGTCAGTATGTGCTCTTCAAAGTGGTATCAGGTACATTTTGGTGGATTTTATAGATCATCATCAAGTTCCTGTATTAGAACCAATGAAACATTCGGAAAAATAAAAAGTTAGCCATCACATAAGTCTAAAATTACCGAATACGGTTTAACTTTTGATTATGCGACTAGTTTTCAGAAAATAAGCACGACTTTCTCGAAAATTTGAATTCATCAACTAATTTTTTGGCAATACCTGTTAGAAAAGTTTTGCAATTGACATTAAAACATTGAGTGTCCATTTCATAAGACAGTTTATGTATTTTTTAGCAATACACGATAAGCAGCGATGTAAAGTTGCAATGTCAAGTTTTGCAATTGCTGTGCCAGCTAGTACAACTCCGAGTAAACTATTGTTTGTTAGATTCGGAACAAGTTTTTATAGGATTTGTGCTCAAGCAGTTTGAGTTTATAGAGGAAGGTCAAATAATGTAAGCATTCAATAATGTTGGCTCTTCAATATTTCTCGGAATTAATCACGCATTTTTCTTAGGTCGGCGGAACAACTCATAAGAAAAATATTCCAATTCCTGGTGCAGCTCTCTTACAGCAAGCACCACTCAAAGTGTATAATCGAAGTACCGAAAATCATCAATCTCTGCGATGGTTTGATGGCCAGCGGTCAGCCATCTTCGACGCACTGTATACCCGCTTTAGAACCTATTGTCGAAGACGTTTTTCTCACAAGAAACAAGTCTAATACCAGTGATGTCAAGGTAAAAAAAAATTGAAGGGTGTACTACAAATAGCTCTAGGCATTACCATGTATTGTCATTTTATCAATGCAGATTCAACTTCTTCATTTAAATGTAAAAGAAAAAATGTGCTTTTTTTTAAATTAGGATTCCTACATTGTACCACACAAACTTTTCATCCAAAAACTACTGATATTATTGAGGTTTTGTGAAATGAAACGTGAAAAAATGTGATCATTTCACAATATCCTAAAATTCCGTTGAAACGTTCTCAAGTAACTTTTTGAGGACAATTCAGTGGCTTATTCAGTTATTTTTGCAGTCCTCATTTTAGTGAAAATTAATAAAATCTCTGTTGAAACAGAACATGAAACTTTCCAAATATGTGATTGTTTTTAAAGGAATTAGAAACAACCCGAGAAGTTGTCCTTGCCATGTTACTACGACTTTGCGATAACAGGCAAGTACTGGATTTGGTAACGTTGATTTTGGAGGACAGCAAATATTGTACGGACAACACTGAAAAATGGTTGGAATGGTCCAAGAGGGTGTTTGGAGTGGTGTTACCATTGCTCAAGCAAAATAAACTGCAATTAGATCACCCTGACGCTTTAAGTTCCATGAGGCGATTTGTTTTGGCATTGAATCCCGAAGTTTTCAAGCCTTTTGATGCAATCATCATCATGTTTTTCCAAGAACCACCTTCATTGGTGAGTACAGGCACATTTGTACATGATTTTCTTTCAGCCATTTTTACCCTCTTTTATGTTTCAATAAATCTCAAAATATGACATTTCCACCCCTACATGTCATTCTGAATATTTATCAAGGGAATTTTGAAGAATCCTGATTTGATTGTGTGTTTTATTTAAAATTAATGCTCGGGAAATTGAGAACAAATGTATTCCGAAAAGCTGACTAACAGGATGAGATTTAAGAACAACATATTTTTTTGTAGGAAGGCGAACTGAAAACATTCAACAATTGGCTATCAAAAATCCTGATTATTCTTCTTATCGTCACGCCTCTTAGAGAAGAATTACTATTATCGAAAATCAACAAGCTGAAATCCGAATTTTCTCCCGGCAGCATCTTCGAAAATGTCACAACCAAAGCAGATCCCCTCAATGTAAATAATAACGCAGACACTTTCCAAAAAATACCCGCCGAACTTGTTTTCATACGATTTTTGTTCAGGGTTGTGTCAGTGACGTCGAAAATGTGCTTGGAAGTCGTCAGACATGAAAAGGAAACGTTTATTTTTGATCAGTCCTTCGGATTTCTGATGCATTGTTTGTATATATTTCAAGCTGGTGAGTTGAAAAGAATTTATGTATATTAAAATTGAAATTGGCCCCAAATCTGGACTTTGTGGTGCATCATCGTTAAAATTCGTCCACTCTTTCAGGTAACCATTGTAGGTTGACGAATGCGGCAGTAAGTGTGATAAACAAAAACATTCCATTTGATGAGAATAATGTGATACAGTTGGACGATATCAACCATAATTTTGTCAGTCTAGCTGCTTTTCATCCTATTTTGACTTCGGGATGGTGCAATTTATTGACCATATTGAATTTTAATAGCAAACAATTTTGGTCCACAGTTCTCAAAGACGACGATAGGTTAGTGAAAATTGTAACTAAAATAGTTTGTAGATATTTCTAAATGTGTTTTTTTTTCAGTCGACATTCCATTAATATGAAAATAATGAGGGTCGGAGGTGCAATTTCATTTTGTGATTATTTGGTGAGGCATTTTCCATGATTAAAACTATAAAACATTAATTTCTCTGAATCTTTACAGAGTGAACATATGGCGGACCTCGAAAATTTAATTTGGTTTTTGAAAAATTGTTCATCATTTTTGGTGGAATTGTCAGCTGAACCACCAGTCTCGGAATTCATCTCTTCCATACATAGAAACTCTTCAACTAGCAAGATTTTTTTGGAAAGTGTATCGACAAATGTCAATACTCACAAATCTGTAAAAAATACTTCTCTCTGTTTGTTCTCGTAATCGTTATCAGTTTTCTGTTTTAGGCCGTGTATAAAGTGAAGTTACTAAAGTGTATCGAAAACTGTCACTCTTCACAAATAGGGTTAGTTTTGAACTTACTGATTCCCGATTTTTTAAAATTTCACCAAGCCGTTGTATCACGGATGGCGGCTACATTGGCAAGCAGAAAAATCGAAATGTTACTCACCATGCCCATGGAAGATGTCAATGGCCAGTTGACCAAAGAAAACTTGAACCGGATATTGCACTCCTTAGTTACTTTGAATCTAGTCAAAAAGTAAGTCCTAATACTTCATAAATGGAAATAATGAAATTCAGAAAATATTTCTCGAAATATCGCTTGCACAGCTCAAAGTTCAAAAAAGTTATTTTGGGAATTTCATACCCAAGCGAAATTTGACGTTGTGAATTCAAATAGCGGATCATTTTTCGCAAGGCAAAATCATTTCCTGAAAATTTATCCACAGCTCAAAATTATCACGATAAAAATTCCCGGGAACAAAACATTTTCCCCTAATATTTCCACAATGACAAACCTCAAACTGAATAATTTTCCACCAATGATTTGTAGGCATGAAACTCTAGTGAGCCTCCTTAACAAACTGTCAGTCCAGTACTACGACCTAACTCCCATAGAGTTCGAACAACGTCGTGTGGTCAACCCCGAGTACATAAAAAAACTGAAAATCAACAAGAAATGGTACTTGTCGCAAATAGAGACGAAATACAGCGACCCTACAATAGCAAAAGAAACGGCCCAACTACTCGATAAACTCGAATACAGCGAAATATTGAGTTGCATGTCGAGCAGCGCGTTCAACAAGTCCTGCTTGAGAAATTGTTTGAGGTTAGGACTGACAAATGTGCGAAAACAAGCAAAGTCCGACCTTGTGAGAGCCAGTACTGAGTGTTTGGTGAAGGATATCGCCAGTTTGGTAGCTAAAATGCCATGTCCACATCAGGTAGAACGATTTAGTCAATTTTATTTCTGTTTGGCGCCCAACATGACCTCTATAACAAACCATATTGTTTTCAGGTGATTTATCCTATAGGTAGGCAAGAATCTCCAGCAGAAACAATCTACAAACACGAACTAATATCTCTTTTCGAGAACCAAAACTACTCAGAACTCCTCTGCAACATAGCAATATGCATTCCGGCATTCCTCAACTGCCTAGAGGGCGCCAGTAACGAACTCTCCCAAAACAATTACGAGGAACTCATGATGTTCGGCGTCGCCTGTCTGGAATACCTAACCTATCTGTCGGTCACGTGTGATGGTGACGTTAAAGTGCATCTGGTCGACGCTCTCTTGACGGCGAGCGATCTCATCGCGAGGAACGCCCACGTTGCCGGTCTGTTGGGCTCGGAGGGTCACGTGACCAAGCTGTGTTCGGGCGCCAACAACTTGTTTAGGTACTGATCCTGATTCTAATTCTATTCATGCGATATGGGGCCGGTAGGCGCTAAGCAACCATGAGATACAAAAGATTTGTGTCCTGAAGCACGACAAAGCGTATTTAAGGTGTATTTCATAAGCGTCAACATGAGCTATCAGTTAACTGTAACACCAATTTAGTGAATTACTTTCTTCATTATTTGTAGATGAAAACATTATAATTATTATTTGGACAGCTACACCTTTTCGACTTTCTTCAGCAGGATGTGTTCTTAATAATACAGAGTATCAGAAAATTTCCAGTTTTTTCTGACTGTGGGGCTCTCAGCATTTTTTTCCAAATGATTATCCCGCAATGAAAGTGTAAAAATTGAAACTTATTTTTTGAGCAGAATTTCATTAGGCATCCCTCTTTGGAACGTTAAAGTAAATTGTTTCTAGGAGTGAGGTAATTGAAAACATACTATTACTCTTAACACTCGTATCTACCTAAATCATATTTTTGATGTAATGATTTACTTCACACACACACACACACTTTCATTTCACACTGTTCACTGGCCACAGCCATGTTATAACACATCAATTCACCTTTAAAAACTGAAAATTCACCGTGTTGATACTTTCAAACATTTCAAACCATCCATTATCATGTCTAGTAATCGAAACTGTAGGTAGGACTCATTGACATCGCAGCCAAATATCATCGGTCGGCTCAGATTTTAAGAAGTGTGGTAATACCAGTTACAACTTTTGAAGTTCGAATGCTTCAATTATGTTCAACCCTCGTCCCTTCAAAGATATATCACACGAAGAACATCAATTAACATTTAAAAACTGAAAAATTCAATATGTTGATACTTTTCGACCCTACATTCTCATGATTATTAACCGAAACTGTTGGTAGAACATCGTTGCCAAGTATCTTCAGCACGGGTCAGAGTTTGAGAAGGCTGAAAATAACTGTTACAAACTCTGAGGTTTGTTGGTTTGAATGCCTTAATTATGTTCAACCCTCGTTCCTGTAACTATATTTTATACGAAAGACACATCAATTCTCATTTTAAAACTGGAACTATCGGTAGGGCTCATTGACATCGTTGCCAAATATCTTCAGCATAGCTCAGATTTTAAGAAGGCTTATAATACCAATTTCAACCTTTGAGCTTTGTTGTTTTTGAATGCCTCATTTATGTTCAACCCTTGTCCCTCTTCAACATTATTTCACACGAAAAACACAAATTCACATCTGAAAACTGGAAAACTCTGTTGATACTTTCCGACCTTACATTCTTATGATTAGTAAGTGAAACTGTAGGTAGGACTCAATGACATAGTTGCCATGAGTTCAACAAATCTGATAAAACCAACTACATACTACATCCTTTGTGGTTAATTAGTTTGAATGGCCCAGTTCTGTTCTAGGCTCATTGACAGTCAGTTGAAAGATGACAGACCTCTACCGACCATCCCGTTATACGCTTTGTCAGACTCGCTGGCCAACGAAGATAGTTTGGCGGCGGGACAAGCTGCCAATCAACTGTACACTCTCTCTTGTTGGCTTTTCGAGCTACGCGGAGTCAATTCTACGAGCATACCGGACTTTCTGTTCGCCAAGATGAAAAGTTTGACGGTCTGTTTGTGCAGATCGCCACTGGTGAATTCTTACGTTCTGGTGCCCAACAGGGGTTGGAAAACGGGGTGGCTGCCCGAAACGGTTTCGGGTTGGTTCAAGACCGTGGTGCCTTCATTGCCCATCGAGTTGCTGAAAGAGATTGATATTCTGGAAGAGTATATTTTCAGGTAATTCTGATTCGATTTCATTATTGCCTAAAACTATAAGGTCTTCTTGAAATGTAGCTACTGTAATCATTTGAATTATGGCAGATAGAAACTGGAACTCTCTTGAACTATGTGATTAGAATAGCAATTCAATTCCTGGGAACTGGTGTATTGCTTTAATTTTCAGAGAATAACTTACTATGAAAACTGCATAATCATATTAATAATAACGGGATGGGCAACTTGAATCAAACTCTTTGATTTTCCTTATTGACAATTTTTAGCTTTCGTCCCCTTTTCCAGAATCAATTTATTGGGGTGGACATCCAGGCAACAATTCGAAGAAACGTGGATGTGCCTTTTGAGCGTACTTTGCGTCCCTCTAGACGATTTAGACGTTCTGGACTTCAATGACCTAGTACATGCTTCGTCTTTGGCCATCAAGGCCATAACAGCACTTTTACTGGAAACTCTCAGTTGTCCTATACCGGGAAATCCGAATGTTTCCGACCTAAGGCACATTTCCAGAAATTTTCCGATAAGCGTTGAAGATTTAGGGTAAGAAAAAACATTCAGATACACTTATTTTCAAACTCATATGATGTTCGTCAATGCGGTGATTGAACGTTTTATCTGTCTGACCAATGTATATCTTGGGACAAAATCCACAGTTCAGTTTGTATACTCCTGATTTTTCGAATCTAGAAATGTTGTGATAATATTTTCGATAAATCTTCCTAACGTATAATTCGTTCTATAACCAATCAAATAAAAAAACACCAATAAATAATGAATTCTTATTTGGTGCATATAATCAGAGAAACAGTGCCTATTTTAGTGGGAAACATGGGGCATAGTGTATGGTAGGTTACCCTCCAAAAGAATACAAAAGTGGGTGTAGGTCCAGAGATCTAGCTGGCTACTCTAGCAATCTGTTTATATTCTTCGCGAATCGAACCATTGTATCAAAAATATGACGTTTTCGGATTTGTCAAAGTTGAAGTGATATACTTTCGATGTTCCAGGGTATCTAAATTGAAAAATATCCAGGATAGCATTCAACTCAGTTACAGTTCCTCGGACGTCAATGTACACTCTAATGTAACTAACGTTTTCAAAAATCGTAATTTTGAAAAAATAAGCGATACGTTTACATATGGACAGGTATCTATTCAGTACTTCATGATAGCGACTGGAGATTTCAAAGAATATGAGGAAAATTTCGCAGTTAGTGAGATATGTCAAAAAAGGAGGAAAATGCTGAAAGACAGTGGTTTGGATATCAACTCTTGCTTGCAGTTTTTGATTGATTACTATACTCAACTCATGAAACCACAGGTACAATTCTCGGTCAATAATTTCATAAAAATGTGAGGATATTTTCTGTCTGTTTTTTTCAGTCAAATACTCATATTCGGGTTCTCCATGAAGCAGTCAGATCGACAGTCATGATTTCTGATCTTTTCATGGACAAATCACAGTTTTCCTGGATGATGGAAGTATTTTTGGAACTGTCAAAATTACATCTCGTAGAAGATGAATTTTTACATCAATTTTTGATTGTAGGGATATGTAAAGCTGTGGCCGTTTTAACACCAGTAAGAAAATTCCTTGAACGCTGGTTCGTGGTTTGTCAACGGTTTATTTTTCAGGATTTAGAAATTTACGAGCAAGTCAAAAAGATGTTGATGCAATTTCTCAAAAGTCCTTATTTGACATCAAGATTTGCTTGTTTGTATGGGGCGTTATATGTCTTGGAAGGTTCCAAATTGAGTAACATCAAAATAGGTACAATTTCAGAAGAAATGCAACTTATATTACCTTGCATGATTGAATATGTTCAACTCAACCTCAACACAACAAATAGGTACTGAACATATTTGAATGACGAATAATTTCGAATAGAAAAAATCATGTAGTTTTATTTTCAAGTGTTCTGAAGAAATCCCAGGAACATTCAAATCTCGTGTGGTCTCTAGCATTCTATTTGATAGAAAACATAGAGGAAATTCACATGGAACAAAACTTTGTAGCCAATACTTTGAATACTGCATTTTCTTCACTGAAAGAGAACTCTAATACCTATTTACATAATCGATTGACAAAGGTAACCCAGATATTTTTCATTGGTTCGTCTTTGTATCCAAATGAACTTATGTTGCAGAATCTTGAAAGACTGTTTATTACAAAGAAATCTATAATGATGGAACACTTTTCGAAACCCTTCTTGAAACTTGCACTGGAGAAAATGAGAAGCGACAACCCTGTAACAGCTTTACTGGGGACACAATTACTCATAACCTATATGTATACAGGTATGGTATAATATCAACATTCCATGTGTATCAACTATAATTTGGCTAAATATTTTTTTTGTAGATTGTGCGAATCACTTGCAAAACCCACAAAATTCGGCCAACACACCAACTAGTCCCGACCACCTAGTACAAACTATCGAGAAAATTTCGGCCATTTTCGAACGTATCAAGAGAGGTTATACCAGCGAAGTGGAAATATTGTGTGCTGTACTACCAGATATACTGAACGATTTTTTTTCATCCGCAGACATACTCACCAAAGTTATAGGAGAATTTCTGTCTGCTCAGCAACCTCACCCCAAGTTACTCAGTAAAGTTGTGTTCCAGGTAAAACAGGATCTCAAAGAAGCCGGAAACAAAATCAATGTTCCAAGATTGAAAAATTCAAACACAAGCCGTTCCACTATTAAAATATTCATCAGAATCTCTTACAAAAAGATTCTTGTGAAGTCAACTGTTTTCAATCATTGTTGTGAAGCTATATTGAAGCTAGACGCAGACTGCATCAATGGGGGAGACCAGTGATTTTTTAAAACGACATCATCGGGAGCTCTATTCCAAAAAACTACCAGTAAACTCAACTTCGAATTTTTTCATTCATACTAGGAAGGACGATAAAATATAAATTGAAATATGTTTATTTCAAAACACACCTCCTGCGTCATTTGAAATGGTGTCAATTCATTGGTATGACGTATTAGTCCTTGTCCTTGAGCTGACCAATCACACTGCAACACTGCAGAATGGCAAGGTATCAGAGAGAGATATAGATAGCTACAGTTCGGGACTAAATCGTCAAGGCTCCACCTTCATATCTGGCATTGGCTTTTTGAAATATCAAATGAAATATGCTCATTTCAAACGCTCAATAATAATAATATTGATTTTACAGGCTGTCCCATTCCCGATGGCCTTACATGGGATGTCTCATTTACTTTCAAAGATAGAGATTTGCGGTTTCCCGGCATGTTGGCTACTTTTTTGTGAAACTCACGATATCGCAAACGAAATTGTCATAGCACGCTTTCTTCTTGAGATACAGGGCGAAATTGAAAATGTTTCATTTTGCGACCCCTTTCAACTTATCGAAAAAGTAAAAATTGTCGCTCACTTTTTTTTTTCATTAAATCCAGTGGCGTAGTCAGATTTTCAGAATAAGCTAAGCTGATATTATCCAGACATAATCCAAAGTTATGTTTTTTAAATGGAACACCCGGTATATTTGTTTATATTTGATACATTGATGATCTGCGCTTTCTAAAAATATATAACACTGATGATAATTTCCAAGTATTAGTCATGAATTTAGATAATATGCGTCCCAACTCAAATAACCAACCGTAACTATGTTATTTATTCTTGATGTCGTCTAGTACATCCTTTTTAGTTCCTAGGAGCTAAAGTTCAACTTTAGCTCCTAGGAACTAAATATGTTGCCTAGCAACATACCTATTTATGTGTCAGTAATAGAAATGTCAATTCAAGAGCTGATTTTGGTGTCAAAATGGACGACTTTTGTGTCGGTTGCAGAAAAAATACATTATAATATATATTCGCTTTTTTACATAGCTACATACGAATGGGATTCACAGCTTCTATACTTCTATAGTCAATAAATGGTGCTGAATGTTTATAAATGATGAATGTTGTCAAAATTGAAACTAGTGTGTGACGGAAAATCGTGCCAGCAATAAGGTGAATTTAAAAATTTGTGATAAGGACAATGTTGTCACATATTTACAAGGGCCATCATTGAAATATCCATTGAAAAACTAGGAACTATCTAATTTTATGGCTAATATTCGAAATATCATATATAGTGGGGCAGATTTCGGTAACAATTGTGCTATTGATGATAAAAGCATGCAATTTTCAGGGATTGTTCAGTAGATGGTTCTTAGTGATTTAAGATAGGGAGGCCCTGAAAAAGTTGACATATAAACAAAATGGCGGCCTTGTCAATTCAAATATGACATAAAACAGGTGACCGGTCATTCTAATTGTATTTTTCATCAAAAAATCATGAAATCTTGAGGAATTGTTCAGTATAGAGTCCTTAAAGCTCAAAAATAGGGAGATCCTGAAGAAGTTGACATGAAAACAAAATGGCGGCCATGTCATTTCGAATGTGATATAACACAGGTGAACGGTCATTACAACTGTTCTTTTCATCATGAAATTTACAGGATATGTACAATTAGTAGTCCTTAGTGATATGAAATGAGAAAGCCCTGAGGAATTTCACGAGAAAACAAAATGGCGGCCTTGTCAAATTAGATTTCATGTAGGTAACAAGGTGAACGATTTTATATTTTGCTTTTTATGATGAAAACATGTTGAATTTTCAAGAAATATTCCGAGTAGGTATTGGATAAGTGAATGTAGCAAAGCTCACAAAAAAAACAAATTGGCAGCATTACCAATTCAGTAAGGTAACACAGGGTCATCTCAATTGTCTCTCATTATAAAATCTCGAATTCTACCATTGAATATAATTGATATAATATGGTGTGATTTGATATAAAAAAACCTCATTCGACCCAACCTAATCTCTGATCACTGGTATGTACCATATTTTACAGATCACTATGATTACTTGTTACTTGGAATCATTTGCCGCTATTTTTCCTATATAGCTCATAAACAGGGTTATTCAATTTCAGTGTCTGCATCCATTTTTATTGTTGATGATACAGAATTGTTGGAATTTCCGAACAATCGGTATTTCGATTATAGAATTTGTATTTAAAACTTGTAGTTATAACAGACAAAATTCAAAAAAGGGTTTTTATGTAAAAAATGTATATTCCTTTTTCAAAATCAAGATCAAGCTGTTTATTTTCAATCCTTTCATCTCAAATAACGACAAAAATACTGCTAGTTTGTTTTTTTGAACAATGTTGTATCATTAATGATAACAAAGTTACGATTGTTGGACACTTAGTTTGGATAACCCTGTATATGACTACAAGGAGCAAATCGTGTCAATATCATAATATAATTATAGTTTCTATTTGTATAATCATTCAGGATCATATGTTTCACAATTCCAGGAAATTTCATGATTCTATTAACAAAATCACGATAATTATGATTTTTCACCATACAGGGTGTCCGCTAAAAGGAGGTCAATCCATCAACCATATATTCCTTGAACAAAAACAATATAAGTTTCCAGATACCATTTTTCATTTTATCCCTTCCTATTCGATATACAGGGTGTAAAAGTTGGAAATTGAATTAAACGTGTTGAATTTCTATCAATTGTTTTTTTGTAAAAATTATTTCAATACATTCGCTCTGAGCACCCGGTATTTTCATATTTACCTTTTCGTACGTGAAAAGTTACGCCCTCTTCCAATTTCGACGAAATAAATAGGAGTAGGTATGTGAACATTATGAGATTACCGTAAGCCGCATAGGCATCAAACAATAACCAGTACTATTCGAATTATCTTAAAAACAAATGATTTTATCGCAATTTTACAAGAAACAAAAAATACTCAAAAATGATACAACAATTGAAGAAAAATAGATAGGAAGTCAGTAGCGCACGTACAAAAAAAATATGGGAGTAAGTGTGTACTTGACCCCCAGTATTTTGAATATTTGACAGTTATTTTCTGTTTTGTTTTTCTCACACGATGTAACTCTTTGTGCTGAAGTAATGTATCAATTTTGAGATTAATATCTCATTAAATACGCGAGTAATTAAAAAAAAAACAGTTTTTAATTTTCAACTTTGTCACCCTGTATATCGAATATGAAGTGCTAAAATGAAAAATGGTATTCAGAAACTCATATTGTTTTTGTTCAAGGAATATATGGTTAATGGATTGACCTCCTTTTAGCGGACACCCTGTATATTAGGTTATTTCCGCCATTTTGTTTTTTTGTTAACTTTTCTAGAAATCCCACTTCAATTATCCATATATAATGCACAATCCTTGAAATTTCTCATTCATAATGAAAAGTACGAATCTAATCATCGATCACCTATGTATCATTATATCAACATTGACATGGCCGCCATTTTGTTTTCTTGTGAACTTTTTCGGGGCCTCCCCATCTCAAATCACTTATATATATATGAAGAACAATTCCTGAAAGTTTCATGCTTTTATCACAAATAGCACAATTCTTGCATTTTTTCACCCAAATCTGCTACACTAATAAGTGTTATTTATTTTCAGAAAGAGCCAAGCATAATTGTTTCAAATATGGAAAAATATACAGGGTGTTCCATTTAAACAAATATAACTTTGCATATTTATAGCTTATTTCGAAAATCTGACTACGCCACTGAATTCTCCGTGAAAAAATGTGGATAAGGCAGTTTTTACTTTCTCGATAGGTTGAAAGATAACTGAGATACAGGGGAGGTCCCAAAATGCAACATTTTCAATTTGATTGCGGTATCGTCGTGAGTTTCACAAAAAAGCAGAAAACAATGCGAAAATCGCAAATTTCTATCTTTGAAAATAAGTGAGATATCTCGTAAGAACCTCGAGAATGGGACAGCCTGTACACATAAAAATATGAATTTCCAGGTGTTCGAGAGTGCAATCCATCAAAACCAACTCGCCCTCTTGCAGGACTGGGTGGTCTTCAGCCTGCCCAACTTCACCCAGTCCTTCTCCATAGGCATGGCCACGTGGTGCCTCACTTGCTTCTTTGTCAGCGCCAGCACCAATAGCTGGTTGCGGGCCTATTTCTCATACGTTCAAACGCGCGTCGGCAGATACGAGTACGAGGATAGGAAGATGTTGTGTATAGCCGGAGCCGATTTTTACGGCAACTTGGCCAATGATAGTCAGAGACGGATGTTTGTCGATAATTTCGAGAAGGTCAAAGACCAGCCTGATACTCCCTTCAACGATTTGTTGCTGTCTTTGTAGTTTGTAGATAAGTTTTACAGTTGTTGAATATTTTTGACGTGTGATTTTCGGGAATTTATTGTATAAATCTATTTGTAAATAAATGTTTTGAAAATACGTTTATCTTCCTTCACAAACACTTGCACAACTCAGGTGCCAACAGTCTACTAGTTTTCACATAGAAACACGAGAGGTGCCTTACAAGTGGAGTGTATCAACATTAGCGTTTGTTATTCTTTTTAGTGCGCTGATCATGCCAATAAAGAAATTCAACCACATAACGGGATTCAGTATTACCCTTCAACAGATTGAATATGTGTGGCCAGCGTAGCCTCGTGGTTAAAGCCTAAATGTTCTATCCACGTTGGTTGCCGGTAGGTGGGTTCGATTCCCACCACGACCGCAGAATTTGTTCTGATGGCCTAAGAAAGTGTTTGAGATCATATGTTGAAAGGTGAGACCCCCGTCATTCCTTGCTCGCACAAGTCTCAAAGACTTCTGAGGGTTGCCCGTAAGGGAAAAATGAACATAATATACAAAATGAAACACATGATTTTTGAAAACTCTAAATAGTCTAAATCATGAGAAATGCAAAATAATAAAATCTAGAAAAACACAAACCAAGCATCACCTCAATTTTCATGGACTGAACAATTGTCAAACATAAATGATTGAAAATATTGAACGACGACGTCAATGATTGAGCTGGGTATCCATAACCAAAAATAAATGATGGAATTTGAATATTACACTTAATTGCTTCCTTATTTGAATACAAGCAAGGCAGAAAAATAATTACTAGTTAAGTTTTGCGGAAACTTGACCAATAGTAATCATTATTGTAGACTATTCTACGTTCAAACATGCGTCGGCAAATACGAGTAAGAGGATAGAAAAATGTGCATAGCCGAAGCCGATTTTTACGGCAATTTGACCAATGATAGTCAAATACGGATGTTTATCGATAATTTCGAGGTCAAAGACCAGCTGACACTCCCTTCAACGATTTGCTGCTGTTTTCGTAGATGAGTTTTACAGTTAATGACTCTTTTCGACGTCTTAATTTTCTGGAATTGATTGTTAAAATCCAATTCCATCAAACATTCGCACAGCTCACATGCCAACATACTATGAAAACGCGAGAGGTGCCCTCACGAGTGGAGTGTAACAACTTTAGAGTCTGTTATTCTTATCTGTGAAGCTGTAAGGGGTTAAGGATGTTGTTGCTTTCAATAGTAAATTGTATATAAAATTTAGCATGATGACTTCAGGGTAGAAAAACTAACAGGTTTTGATAAGTTTTATGAATATTCACAAATAAAAACTTTTCACCGACTGGACAGATTGCCAAACCTAAATAATTGCGAAAATTAGACGAAGACGTCAAAGTTCAAGCCGGGTATCCATGAGCAGAAATAAATGTTGAAATTTGAAAAATATACCGAATTGCTTCTTAATTGTGCTTAGAGCCAAATTTTGCGGAAACTTGACAGATAATAATCAGAAACGGATGTTTATCGATAATACCGAAAAATTCAGGCACCAACCTGACACTCCCTTCAACGATTTGTTTTCCCGTTGTTGACTATTTTTCACGCCTGATTTTGTGGAGTCCATCTTTTATTACAATTTCTAAAAAATCGTAAGGCACCTTCAACGATTTGTTTTTCCGTTGTTGACTATTTTTCACGCCTGATTTTGTGGAGTCCATCTTTTATTACAATTTCTAAAAAATCTTAAGGCACTCAATACACTTTTTTCTGCATGGGAACACGAAAGAGTGTACCGACGTTGGCAACTGTTATCCCTTTCTACAAAGAAGGTCGTCGATAGGGCAGGAAACAATGCAACAACTTGATTTTTTCATTTTATTGTAGAGGGATGCTCACTGTGCCGAACATACCAATAAAAAAATGCAACCACCTCACGGGATTCATTATAACAAATTCCTAAATAATTCTATTGCTATTTAACTACATTTTAATGTATTTTCATGAATGTAAAAGTAAAAGAATCACAATTGAATCGAAAGAATAATAAATAAAATCGCCAGGACGAAACACATGATTTTTAAAAATAACTTACAGTAAATATCATCGAAAAGCGAAAATAATGAAATCGAGAAAAACACCATCTCTTCAATCGAGTCGTTTACTGAAACGAAGCTCCACCAAAACTTTCACCAACTGGACAAATTGCCCAACAGAAATATTAGAAAAAATTGGACTAAGACGTCAAAGTTACAGCCGCGGGTATCCATGAGCAAAAATAAATTGTGAGATTTGAATATACCATATACTGCTTTTACATTCTGAAATAGAAAAAACTAGGATTATTGAAAATACCCTCTGAGATGAAATTTTACAAAAACTTACACGTTATTTCCATTATGAGGGGAAACCAGTTGGTGGTTGTCCTGGAACCGAATATTGTGGTCTGAAGTTGCCGAAATTGGCAGCTGCGAATCCAGGAAGGTTTCCAGCATTGAAACCTGGCGGGAACTGACCCATAACTTGGGCTGAAAAAAAAATTAACGACAACTAAGAACTGCAGTCAACAATCATTTTTTGAATACGTGTACTCTTGCCAATTTTCTGACTTTTCCATATCATCTTCTTTCTTCGATATTCCGAAACTATTCAATTCCATTGATTGACATATGAAACCACCGCAAGCTACAGAACGGTCTCAACAAAACTTGAAACACTAAAGAACCAAATTGCAGAAAACACCACAGAACACAAAATAAAAACAATCAGAACTAAAAGTAACCATTGAGATTCAGGACTGCAGAAGGCTACACTCCAGTTTCATACTGAGGAGACAAAAAATTAAAAATTAACGAAATACCGATTCAAAGTATTGAGATTTTTTGAATGGAAAAGTGGCACGCCATTTCTTTTCTTAATAAATAATGTTTCAACACAAATATGACATGATTGGACGGTGTCAGCGCTCTTATTATTTAAAAAAGTCATTAGGAATAACTGTAGACTCAAAACACCATCACAAGTATTTGTCGGGTTAGGTCCACACTGAATTTTTTTGTTGAAGGACATTTTTGAAAGTGGGATAAAGATCCAGCACACCTTGAAAATTGTCAGAAAAATAAACTTACTTGTTGATTGACTGCTCGAAGAAGACGTGGCTGCCAATCTGGACAGAATGCTTCTCTCTGACATCTGTAACCGTTGAGCTACAGGCGGTATCCTAGCCAAGGTGGCAGGCAATCTCGAAACGTCCGATTTCATGTCGGACAGCAACTCTTCCAACTGGTTCAACACCTACAACGAAAATTCCCGATCAGCTATTTCAACTTGAAAAAACCCAACATAAACTCAGAAATTCAGTCATCAGACGCAAAAATTAAACTTATTTCATCTTGATTCTGCTACTTCTATACTTGGCCAAAATGAATTTACCCACATTGTTCTAGCTGAATTCAACAAATTACCAGAGAATATAATATTGCCGACATATTTCAAAACTTAAAATTGCATTAAAAAACACACATGATTTCAAGAAACAATTGAAATCCAATTTTGTTCTGATATGAAACTCAGAAATAAATAGTCATCACAGGAGACAATTAAACTTATTTCATCTTGATTCTGCTATTGTATTGTCATATTTCATCATTTTACAGGTACATTGTCTGATGATGGCCGTTGCGCCAAAACAGGTAACATGTATTGATTGGTTTATATAAAGTGTGGTCGACCGACTTTTAGCTAATTATAATCCGATTCTTTTCAAAATTGGTACCTAGGGGTTTTCGTGATCGGGGATCATAATTCCTTCGTCAAAATAAGAAATTCAAGATGGCGGATCCAAAATGGCGGATTTTGTAAATAGGATCCGATTTTATTCAAATTTGGTATCTGGGGGTTTACGGGGTCGAAGATTATGATTAGGAAATTCATGATGGCGGACCCAATATGGCGAACGAGTATTGTAATTATGATCCGACTCTCTTCAAAATTGTTATCTGGGTGTTTTCGGGGTCGGAGATTATGATGCTTTTGCCAAAATTTGGATAGGCGGGATTTGGAAATTCAAGACGGTGGAACCAATATATCGGACGAGTTTTGTAATTATATACCGATTCTATTCAAAATTTGTAAGTGGGCGTTTTCGGGATAAAAAATTATGATTCCTTCGTCAAAATTAGGGTATTCAAGATGGTAGATCCAATATTGCGGACGAGTTTTGTAATTATGTTCCGAATCTATTCGAAATTTCCTTCTGGGGTTTTAGAAGTCGTATATTATGATTCTTTCGTCAAAATTGGGAAATTCAAGTGAACTGAAAAGCTAAAATAAATGGTAGTTTGAAAAACTGAAGAAACACGCTTTTATAAATAGCAAAACTAAAAAGAAGTAGAAAATAAAATAATAATAGTGTCTTGATGAATATTGAACTTAAAAAATATATTATAGAAATAATGTTTATAGCAAAGCAACGTTTGCGAGGTCTGCTAGTTTAGAATAAATCTAAGCACTTGGAAATTGCTTCATCATTCAGGAACAAAAATTATAATTGAAGTGAACTGAAGAATTATTATTATTGTTGCCTATACACCCCCATTCCTGTTTATTTGTATAGGTATCTCTATTATTGTCTTCGAGTTATTGATGTGATTTCTAAAAATAGATCACTCTTGTCTCAGCTCGACTTGACCTTGGCGCCTTAATGCCCTAGCAAGTGAGGACTGGGGAGTCCTGATTCAGTAGTTATCGAGAGACAATCGATTTAGGTCAAGTTACTCGGTCACTTCAGGGCACAACATTCCGCGTTCTGTGATTCAATGTGTTAACCAGAAAATCAAGGAATACAGTCCACATTAAAGTTCGAAGACGTTTTATTAAAAAACCCATTCAATCATCTCATGTATGAATCTTCATTTGCAAAGTGATTTGGACTTTCATTATTTTCATTGAAGAAGAAACATTCCCAAATAGAGCACGGAGGAAAATATCCCAAATATTTACCTTGTGCAGTACCGCGTTGGCAGGTTTGTTGCCGGCCAAGGACTCCTTGCTGAGGTGCTGGTGCGACTCAGCCAAGCATTCCACTTCGGCGAACCTCGCGTTCAACGACATGGCCGGATGGTTCGGGTCTTGGGTCAGGTTCAGGTAAGCGGCCCGGCGCAGTTGCTCTTCGATGACGAGGGCCTGTTCCAGAAGCTGCAAACAAAATATTCAACAATGATGAGATGATTTCTCGGACCTGGCATTTTGATTCATAAAACGAGAACACAAATTCGACATTCTTAGACCATATTGTAAATAACGTGTAGAAAGACGCCAAACACTTTTCAAGCAGAAATAACCATTTGGGAAGCTATCACAATCTAACAAAAACAGGATTGAAAACAAAACATCTTTAATTTTTTTTTTTCATCAATTTGTACTCTCCACTCATTATCATTATTATTATCATTTTAAAGATGATACTATACAGTTTTTGGCAGAATTCCTCGTTACCCTCTTGTCACCCGCTCACCCGTCAGTCAGCTGCTAGTTAGTTGGATTTTTCACACTTCCCAAAATCATAACCTGTCGAAGCTAGAGTCCCTGTATGTATTTGACAAAACTGACAAATATATACAGGGAATTATACATACAGGGACTCTAGTCGAAGCTAACGGTTAGTATCAATGATACCAAAGTAGATACTTCAAAAAGTACTAAATTTCTAGGTATAACCGTGAACAACAATATCTCTTTAAGTATTCACTGCAGTAACCTGACCAAATCAATGAATTCAAAATGTTACCAAATCAGGGTTCTCAGAAATGTTTTGGATAATCGAGGTCTGAAACAATATTACTTTGGTCAGATTCAGTTTAGATTATCATATGGAATAATGTTATGGGGGAACTCCACAGGAGTACAGGACGTATTTATTTCTCAAAAAAGGATCATTAGATCGATTGCAGGAGTATCATCTACATTCTCATGTCGTAGCCTTTCCAAAAAACTTGAAATTTTACCACTGGTTGGACTTTTCATTCTTGAACTCTTTTTATGTTCATAGGAATAGAAATTCTTTTACAAGAAACAGATCCTTTCACGAACATAATACGAGAACAAGAAATGATTTTCATATCCCTAATACACACCTCACACTTTGTATGAAGTCATAAAATTCCGGGACTGAGATCATATAACGTTCTTCCCGATGCCTTGAAAAATATCAACTCAGTTCATTGCTTCAAGAAAATGTTATTGTAAGTTACTTTAAGAAATTAGCCCACACACAATAGCTGCATTTTATGAATATCTTAAATGAATTCAGGAGTGTGTTTAGATCTTCCTTTTTTCAAAATAGTCTTGTATAGTAACGTGTATATGTGATGAATTTGTGTACCTGGTGTTTAGTGTATTATTTGTAATATTTCATTTTAATTAGTTTTAGCCTTTGACCTGTCCAATAGCTATGTTATTGAGCTCATTTAATAGATTACATTTTCTATCTATCTATCAATTGCTCACCCGTCAGTCACAGAAACGTCAAGAAAATGTCACAAAAGCTTATAGGAAAAGTTTTTAGAAGCTTAGACAAATGTGTGTCTTTTCCGCGACGTTTTTGAGACGTTTTCTTGACTGACGGGTAAGAAAGTGACTAGCAGGTGACTGTCAACTTATTGGCGGGTGAGCGGGTGACTAAGGGATAACGAGGTTAAGTTATGTCAAGATGGATTGCACCAGAAGCTGTAAAAATATATTGAAACAGTTTCAATCTTCACCTGAAGATGACAACATAATAAAGTGTAGTGTGATTGTGATTCAATGAATTGATTGATCACAAGTTTCATCCAAGTTTTATAAAATTGATTGGTACAAAATGTGTGAAAACTGAAGAATAGATAGAGAACAGAACTCGCGATTATTTCTTTCTAAGGAGCGTTTCTCAATACCTTGAATCTCCAAGTCAAAATCTTGTTCTTGATCTCCAAAAAGATCCCCTTGCCCACGTCCATCTTGAACGGTTCATTAATAATGACAAATCGACCGTCGGCCTGAATGTCCTGCCACCTGCCGTAGCCATGAGTAACTATACCGGCCCCAATAACCAACAGTCTCAATGATTTTTTTATGTGCATTTTCAAACTATGTTGTAGCACGTTTACGAAAATAATAAACTTGATTACATGCTTTCGATTTATGGTGAGTGTCGCTAAATTGCAGCAGCAGCGTTAGTTTGCTAATTCACGAAAAGATTTCCGTTAAGAAATCATCCAACACCGCGAATAGTTGTTGATGAAAGGTGTTTGAAATATTGAAAATTTCAAATAACTTTACAAATACGTTTCAAAATTACCTATTTTCATGTTACACACGTGATATTTAATTTATAAATGAAAATTAATCTATAAAGAATATCGATTCTCTGGCAATGATTCCACAGAGGTATCCCCACCATTCACGATTTCATTAATTCATTCGTGTCTGGCGTTTAGTATTTTTGTTGGCGTATACTTTTTAATGCTTAATGAATGAATCGCGGTGCCTATTGTTATTTAGTCTGAGGTTATCCCCATCATTCGCGACTCCATTCATTTATCCGGGTTTGGCGTTTCGAATTGTTGGCGTATACTTTTCAATGATTTATGAATGCATCGCGGTGTCTATATACCTCTATATATTCTCTATAACCATATTGCTATTTGCAAACCAAATCTGAATCGACCCGATTGAGTACAAATTAATAGAGAAAAAAACTAGCGATTTTGTTTTTTGGGAGTCTCAGCGGAGACATGAAGCTATGTTCATGCTTATACGAATTCCGCAAAATTCATGCATATCGCAAAATATGAAATTTTGAACAGAATTTGAAGAAGAAGAAGTTCATCAAAATTACGGCCCGTTACACGGACGTAATTGAAATATTTATTGGGGTCATTCAGTCGCATTTCTCGAAGAGGCTGTAATAATATCTCCATCAATTTTGCGGCATTTGAAAATACTTCGAACACTACAACCTTTTTTTATATCTGGACACATCATTAGCTCTATAAGGACCATACAAATGATCCAGATAATACATCCTACGAAACAAATTTAATCAAATGGAGAATAAATGACATGAATCTTATAATTATAATTGTGTACTTACCTGTAGTTCTAGAGTCTAGCCTACTCTTTTTTCGGCCTCTGCTGTCCGCTTTCTGATTCCCCAACAACATATTTATTGCATACTGTGTGGTTATGATTCCATCCGAATTTGCAATAAAGTTAAAATATCTCAACTTCATTGCGATAATTTCTGCTGCCATTTTATTCGCATACATTTTGCGGAATTCGTACAAGCTTGAACACACCTTAAACCGAGCGTTTCTTGATACATACCTTGAATCTCCTAGCCAAGAACTTGTTCTTGATCTCCAAAAAGTTCCCCTTGCCCACGTCCATCTTGAACGGCTCATTAATAATGGCAAATCGACCGTCGGCCTGAATGTCCTGCCACCTGCCATAGCCATGAGTAACAATCCCGGCCAATAGCCAGTAGTCGTGGCGGCGGTGCCAGATCTCGTAGTCCCTGCCAGGCGAGGCGGCTTTTTCCTCGTTCAGCCACAGGGTGTGCAACTCGGTGAAGCCGCCGTCGGCGATGTTGAACATGAAGCGCCGCTTGGCTTCCATGTGGTCGACTTCTTTCTTCTCCTTCTGCGAAAAAAACAAAATGGACGTGGAAACCATCTGTTAGATTGAAATGTGGATAAAAAAATTCACACTTTCAATAAGAACGTTTTTCTTCACTATTGAAGGTAATTAGGACTGTTTTTATCGATTATTCCACCCGCTTCCTGAAGATATGTGAAATATCCTTATTTGATAAGGAAGTTCCAAGTGCAAAAAGGCTCAAAAACTTCACTTGGACTCACTCTACAATCCTTCATTCAATTTTCAAATATTGAAACAAAACACAGATTCAATGAAGAACACTCAAAACTGGTATGAAACGTCAACCAAACGTTTTTTAATGCAATTTTTCTAGAATTCAAGGTGATATTTGAGTTGTTTTTCTTGAATAAAATGCAAGAAATCATCAAAATTATGGAAGAATAACAATTTGCGGCGTTTCATACGATTTAGAAGGAAACTAATCATCTATTGAAAATACAAACTATTGATTTTGGATGTTATAAAGAAATTACAAAAATATCAAGTTGTGATAAATCAATGAAACTCATTAAAAATACCTAAATAAGAGGAAACAAGGATGACAAAAGAATCATCGAATTCAATGATATGATTACCAATATAGTCAGTATTGATTTGGAAAATTTTGATTTGTATGTCGCTACCAACTCCCCAGAAGTCAAAACTTGTGCAGGACTAGGAGGAACGGGACCTTCACATATTTTCATCATTTCCAGGTATACAAAGATTCATACAACGTTAGAAATTGAAATGTGCAATGAGGTATTTTTCGTTATTTTTTTTTTTGACTCAGTATACCAGAACCGTTTAGCGCCCAGACTGAGCAATTATGTATTGAGGTGTATTTGCTTGTATAAATTTTTTTCGCCGTATAATTCTCATGATATTTCAAAGAATGTCAAAATCAATCACCTCTTTTTTTCTAACTGCAGTTTTTTTATTATCCTCCTTGGTTTTCCAGATAAATAACAAATTTAATATTTGTGCTTCTCCATATGACTTGTTTATAATGTTAGAGGATTATCATGTTTTGCTGGTTGGTACCTTATTTGTGTTGAATTATTGACCGCAATAATCATGTGTACCAATTTGCAAGCTCTTCAGCATATGATTTGGCAGCTAGTCATTTCCAAATTTCAGTTCAAGATTTCCGATAAAAAAACTTCATTCAAGGAAAAATTAATAATTTTGAAGATGACCAATAACATTATCATATGCTGAAGTATTTCATAAACATGATTATTCTGGTCAATAACTCAACACAAATGAGGCAAAAACTTGTAAAACATGATAATCGTCATAATCATAAACAAGTATGGAGGAGCACCAAAATGAATTTTGTTAGGTATCTCGAAATCCAAGAAAAATAATAAAAACACATCTTGTTATCCATCAAAATAACAAAATTTCAAAAAAACACCTTGTATTATGCAGTTAGAAAACATGAAGGGGTTGATGAAGTAGCCACAATAGATTGGTTCAAGATAATGTAAAAGTTATTCTTAAGTCATAAGCTTACTACACACAAAAGTAAACATACCTTATCTTTCTCATCCCCTTCGACAACCGTCACATCCTCACCATCCTTCTTCTCAACCTTAGGCTTCTCCTCCTTAACCTCCTCTTCCTCCTCCTTCTTCACTTCCGTCTCCATTTTCACCTCCATCTTCGCCTCTTCCTCCTTCTTCTCCTCCTTCATCACTACTTGTTCGCCCACCTCAACCTCTTCCGCCCCCGCTTCCACTTCCTTCTTCACCTCTTTCCCAACCTCTTCCTTCTCGTCCTCCTCCTTCTTTTCTTCCTCGGATGGCTTCTCCTCAGACTTCGTCTCTTTGGTTGGCTGCTCAGCTGGTTCCGTCTTCGCGACTGTTTCTTCCGGTGCAGGACTCTCCTTTTCCTTTTCAGAAGACTCTTCGCTCTCTGACTTCTCTTTTGCATCTTCGCTCTTCACGGAATCCTTATCCTTATCCGAGACACCTTCGACTGGCGTCGGCGCAGGACTAGGAGCAGCGCTAGTAGCCGGAGTAGCGCTAGTACTAGTCGTCGCGCTCTTCGGAGTCTCCGTTTCGGTAGTAGAGCCAGTGCTCTTCGCTTGCTCTGCCGCTGTCTTCTTAATATTCTCCGGCATGCTGTACTCCCCGTTAATGTGCTCGAACTCCTGCACTTTTTTCCTAATCAGCGACATAACACCGATGCGAGTCAGCACGTGTTGTCTACTCAGACCCTCCCTAGGAACGCCGTCAGCGAAAGTATCCGCATTATCGGCGCCAGGCTCGCAAAGGTGCCGCATGAACAGCGACACGTACGCCTTGAAAATCTTCTCCGACTTGCCGCGCAAGTCCCTGACCAGCCACTGCGAATTAAAAGCGTCCTGCGGCGGCATGCCGTACCGCATAATAGCGTTGAGGAACGCTTTGCGCTGACGCGCGTTGAAGCCCAACACTTCAATGTTGCCGCCTACTCGAGCTAAAAGAGGCGGCAGCGGACGGTCCTTTTCTTCTTTGCGCTCCATCTTCCGGCGGCTGCGCTTGGTTAAATCGGGGTCGTTCTTTTCATCGAAGTCGTCGTCCTCTTTGTCCTCGTCCGAGCCGGCGGAGAAGTCGGAATGGTAATCGGAGAGGTTCTCCTGCCAGGTGGTGTCCTCTCTGGTGTCGGTGGTCATACCGCCGTCGTTGTAGTTCACTTGTTTGCGGACTCGCTTACCCTTACCTGTGTGAGGAGAACGTTTGTTTTGTAATCCGAGGCTGGGGCACATTAGTTTGCGCCCAATGACTTTCAAAATGCGTCACGCCATTGTCGTTTTAAATGAAAACCCAATTAGTAGGCGATCGCCCATATTTACCACATTTTCAGTCAGTGACCACTATTCTGAACTAAGTTATTCATTTGTTTTCCTAACGACAGACATTTTTTGACAAGATCCACCCTCCTGTTGTTAATAAAAAATGTGTCATGTTGGAACAATATTTCAAGTACTTTCACAAATTAGGAATGCAGGATGCTTAAAAAGGAAATGTTCATTTAATGATGAAATTCTCGATTCATCTTCGTTTCTAGAATATCAATTTATTATTATAAAATAAATGATGCCTCTGAGGGTCAAGAAGAAACACTTACAGTTTGTGCAAAGTCAGTTGGAAAAACACATCACCGCCAGCCGTCGGTCCGTTTGAAAGTTCAAATAGTGCGGCAGTGCGGCTCGACATTCGCTTGATGATCTGTTCAACTGACATTGCATAAACTATACCTGATGTTTATTCAATCAAAATACACCACGGAATATAATAAAATTCTAAATGGTACATAAAATATATCCGTAGGTAACAAGAGTCAATGTCTCATAAAAATATAGTAAAGAAACAATAGTCAATATAACAGAAGTCGGAAGTCACTGCATGCTGCCTCAAATCGATGTATTCAGTAAACAATCGCCATTGATTGGCCGACAAATCCTGGATCAATGAACAGACGATATTATACCTCTCGCCCACTAACTAGTTTTTTTTTAGAACGACAATGTTCACACATCATGAGTGGTACAAAATTGGCGCCCAACTTGCGGTTCACTTAAATTACTTCCAATATGAGTCACACCCTCATGAGTAGTAAATAATCGTCCGAGTACTCCGAGTCTCAGAAACCGTTTCGACGAATAATCATGAACTTTTGACAAAATAACATCTACTATATTTTGAATTTTTAAATTGAGTGTTCCAGATACAAAATGTCTCATGTAATGTGGGTTTGTTGGATAATTCTTCTGAGAAAAAACTTTTTGCTTAAAAAAGGTTGAAAAATGGCACACTGAAACGGGGTCATGAATGTGAAGAATGATTTGAAAATTTTTCAAAATGGCTCAATTGATCCTGTGATTTTCTTTCACAATTCCTTCCATCCACTCACCCAACGTCCTAGCGATATCCTCCTGCTGCTGCTCGTAGTGGTGCCTCAACAGCTTGATCCAGTAGGCGGGGTCTGTGTTCTCGGCCTCCTGCTTGATGATCTCCGTGTTCACCTCCTCCTCGACCTCCTCCTCCTTGGTCACGTAGCTGGCCACCTTGAACGAGCTGAGGTACTCGTTGGCCCAGCTCTCCTTCTGTTCGATGCCCTCCTTGCTGCGGTCGAGCAGCTCGCGAACGGCTTTGTCGTCGTAGTGGATGGCTTCGTCTTCTTTGCCTGCAACGACGTAAGACGTGATCCATCATTTATTGAATAAATCCAGACACTCGAATATAATCTTCAAATACAGGCATAATTTACACACTAATAATACAAGAGATCATTCTCAAATTGAACTGGCAGCTGTCAAAACACGAAATGAGATGTGTTCCATGCACAAAATAGCAGTCTTTCGCATCTGTCCTTGTCTTCATATCGTTTTTGTCCATTGAATGATTGTACTCTTTTTCAAAATGTCTAGCTAACGGTTTTCGCTTTATTCGCTCTTGAAGAAAATGTTTCATTTATAACATTTAAATAATTTTAAATTATCGAGTAAGCGAACTGACAGTGGAAAAACAGAGAGTGATCAATGATTACAATGACGAGCAACGCCCATAACAAACAGAATTTCGAAGTAGATGTTCGACCAAAGCTGAAAAAAGTCAAAATGAAATCTTTCTTTGAACGCAACATTTCGATAAGGCATTTTGGGTTAAATCTTAATTTTTTGGTGTTTACTATCTAAAGAAAAAATATAGGGATCAAATAAAATCCAGGGTGAGACCCTTTTCCCACTCAAGGTTCTACACAGGTAGCAATGCTGACGTCACAACAAATTTCTGTGCGTAAGGCACATTCACGCGGAGTTAAATCGTATTTGTTCTTTTTTTTTTCGATTTCTAATTTTCAAGATCAAATTTCTCGTTAATTAGAAGAATTAGAATTCTGATATGATGGGAATATCCGTTAGCAGATATTTTATTGATTTGTTGAATATATGAACTCATTTCAAAAACACCTCGTACAGTTGAGGAAATGAAAGAAAATATCCTTCAATTTCTTTTCACTCCACCCCATACCTACTATCGGTATCGGAATTAGTCATACTTGTTCGGGAATTAATCGGTTGAAAGGATGACGTAACTAATTTGTCATTTGAATGATGAATCAAATCAATAAACAGTATCGTTCTAGACTTCATGGCATACGGTCGATTCAAGTGATAATGAAAAAAACTCGAAGTATTAAAAAGTGGAAAATTGGAATTCATATTTAGCTTAGTGATTGTATTTTCATTTAGTGTGTGAAAGTTGTTTTGTTTCAAGATGGTAAGTGTTTTTGTATAATATACCTATATCGAGACATTCATCACGTGGTTGGTATTTTCTCGGTATATTTCCATATAACGATGGAAAATGTTTGAAATTCACTTTACCTATTTATACAGAGGATCTAGATGAATATTAATGAAACAAGTTGCGAAAATATTCGCCATTTTGTTATGAGTTGACACAAATATTTTAAAATTTCGTATTCATCTAGGATGGACTAATTCGCTTTGTTAACTTATACAGAGGTGCTGAAAATAGGTTTTGAAAGTAGTTGCAAAAACATTCGCCTTTTTGTAGAGACTTATTTAAAGGTATACAACACTATTCGAAATTTGGTATACCATTCTTCAACAAGACATTTAATGGAATCCTAACGAAATTTAAAATGTTAAATAGAATGTATACTTCGGTACTAATAGCCTTATACAGTGTGGTCATTTAAGTGTGCAACATATGGCACTCTTTTTAATGAATTGCACTACCAAAATACAGATAGTGTCGAAAGTTGGTGCATATTCGGTATTCATTTTAGGTGCACTTAGAATGGTTGCAAGTCACACAGCATACAGGGTAGGTCAAAAAATATAAAAATTGCTCAAGAGTAAAGTACCCTTATTTCAAAAAATTCAGCAAAATGTTATTGGGAAAAGTTGTTAACAATTGAAAGTAAACTTTCGTCATATGTAATAAATACCACAAGTAATGCTGTTTAGCCGACTATTTCACTAATCTCATAATCTGACCAATCACAAGCCAGAGACAACGTATGCTTATCGCAAAAACATTAGCTTTCTTTCAATTCTGATTGGTCTATCAGCGTTGATGTTCTCGACGATGTAACCATGGATAGCGAAACAAAGTCTGGATGTAACCATGGATAGAGAAGTAAAGTCTGTCATTTTGGCATAAAGTAATTATGACTGTACTTGTCAGAATAAATCACTCATTTATAATGAATACGTTTTTTCACCACTAGCTATAAAATCTACCATTATTTACTCCTTTTCTCAATTGATCGAAAAATCAATTGATCGAAGATCAATAATTGATCGAAATATCAATTGATCGAACTACATTCTGATGGAATATAATCATTTGCATATAATATTCAAACTACTCACAGTCTCAAACCCTTTTCATAGATTCCAGGAACTCATTGATATGAAGGATTTCTTTGTGAGAAGCTGTGAGGAGTATCAAATATAATTATAGTGATCAACATTATGTTAGAATTTATGTCACATTCGGTTACAGAGACAAGACATCGTTCAGACAAAGTTGCGGCATCGAAAAATGCCGTTAATAAATAGTCAATGTAGAAAGGAAAAATTGATATGAGATGGATATTTTTATGTGAGAGAGTACCAGCGCTATGACACGACAAAGTGTTGCAAACAGTGTACCTCTACATTTGGTACACCGCTTGCCTATAATAGCAGAGATTAGTGTGACAGATCTCTGCTAATAGTTCAGGTATTTCCTGTAATTACGGAAGGAAGATTCATTTAGGCCGAGTCAGGTTAGGTTGTTTAGGAACAGTAGCCTCTTTTGTTCTCTCGAGTAATTTTCCTAAAAATATACTTTTCAGGAAGAAGGTTCATTTAGGCCGAGTTGGGTTAGATTGTTATGGAAAAGTTGTCTCCATTTTTATGCTTATGCTAATGCTTATGCTCATTTTCCTTCCTCAACCTTCCGGCAAACAGTGTAACGGCTGCAAACAGAGATACTGTTTGCCTGTTATAATTTCGATCAAAATGTAATTCGATTAGTTGATTTTCGATCAAATGATGTTCGATGAAATGATTTCGATCAAATAGGTTTCGATCAAATTTTTGGCAACCGTGTTTTTACTACCAAGGTAGTTTTCGTAATTTTATGAACCACTAGTCAATGAAGACATAGCCACTCTACTTTAATTAACCCAAATGCACTGTCCGGATCAGATATTCACAGGAATGGCACTCGAATCTTGTAGAGGTATTAATTCATAACGACTTCTCATATTATGCTGTCATATTCAATATAAACCTTGGTAGTAAAGAATATTATTACCATGGAACCTTATACCCCTAGGCTGAAGCCTCGTGTCATCATCCGATCGTATCGACACTGTTGTGACTGTCATACTGATACCCAGAATGTAAACAAAATGTATTCTTGCAATTTATTTCTACTTTACATTTCGGACACATGAACACTAATTTCAATGATATTCATATTCACACTAGCGTCGATATGAAAAACCTATCATTTTGCCAAATTACAGTTTTTTTGTGACTATTATTCATGTATACAGTGTGATTCAATTTGATCAATTCTACTTATGTATTCCCGTATACTGTGCGCGCCTGAAGTCCATTCTTCCCTTCTAATTTTTGACCACTTGGTATATCACAACGAAATTTGGAGGGCACAATAGATGATGGCTCAGCGCCATCTTGGAATATTTTTCAAATGGAACACCTCCGTATATTCTTCCATTTTCGAAATCTCATAATTCTTAACAATCTCATTTTATACACTTTAGTCCTGAATTCGATAGTTTTCGAAATATCAAAGTTTGGAAAAACTGACATATTGTCTTGTACTAAGTCTTGTATGAATATATCGATATGATTCAATTCTTTTGTTACAGGACTGTTTCCGAAAAGTAATTCATGATGAGAGAAGAAATTGTATCCTCGACAATGGTGAGTTTCTTTACATATTCCTATTTCATATCTCATGATGATATTTCTCTTCATATTCATTGTATCACTTACTGAAATTCAATTTATTTCGAACATTTCTTCAAAGTTGATATTATTTCTTCTGGAACTTGTTGACACAAGGACTTCGGTTGAGAGTCATTTGAACATTGTTGTTCAAGAAAGTACTTTTATAATAATTAATATTGTTATGGAAGTTAATATAAAGAGGTAATTTCCGATAGTCATCTTCATATTCATCACATTCGAGATTTAATAACAACTATGTTGTAGACAAAGAAAAACCGTGTGATAAATAAACCATTTGAGCCACAAAAAAAATTGCATAGCAGAGAAAACCAGAAAAGGAACCAGTGGCCGGTAAGGAGTTTCCCATTCCAGTTTCCGTGTTATATTCAGTTTATTTCGAATATTTCTTCGAAATTCCCCATTTGTTATGGAAGTCGATATATCATAGAACATTTTTCAAGTCACCTTCAATCAATCAATCAATCATTTAATGATTTACTGTTTATTGTTTTCATAACAATTTGAGTTCAGGCAGAAGAGACGTTAAAAAAAAGAGAAAGATAATATGAAATATAAAATGCCCGTGCAATGTAGTCTTCATCAGAAAACCTAGGCAACTTTATGTCTCAATGGCGTCGGTAAACACTCGTTCAATTTCAATTCTCAATAAATTTTAAATTTGAGATAAAATACCAACTAGATTTTAGATCGAAGAAGCGACGTATTATTAATCGACGGAAAAATTTTACAGAAGAGGAAACCAGACCAGAAACCAGCGACCGGTGATAAGTTTTTCATTCCTATTTACGAATTATATTCAATTCATTTCGAATTTTTCTTCCAAATTTAATATTTGTTATGAAAGGCGATATATCATAGAACATTTTTTTAGTCACCTTTATGTCTCAATGGAGATACGACAGGTACCCTTACGAGGGGAGAGTATCAACCCTTGGCATCGGTAAACCCTCGTTGCAACCGGGGTAGGCGCCTGATGGGTTAGGTATATACAGTGTTTCTCATTCAGGAGAAAATTGTTGGCTATCTGTTCCGTTCTTAGAATATGTCGCGTTTCAGCAACGGAATTTGAAAAAGTTTCCATATATTTTCCAGTTTCTTATTCCATGTAACTCTAATGATTTCAATTTTCAATAAATTTTAAATTCTTCGAGATAAAATACCAACTATGTTTTAGATCGAAGAAGCGACGTGTTATTAATCGACCGAAAAATTTTATAGAAGAGAAAACCAGACCAGGAGACATGACAGGTAACCTTTCGAGGGGGGAGTATCAACCCTTGGCATCGGTAAACCCTCGTTGCAACCGGGGTAGGCGCCTGATGGGTTAGGTATATACAGTGTTTCTCAATTTTTGGCTATCTGTTCCGTTCATTATTTGGGTAATAGAAGATGTCGCGATTCAGCAACGGAATTTGAAAAAGTTTTCATATATATTTCAGGTTATTATAACATGTAACTTTATTGATTTCAATACTCAATACATTTCAAATTCGAGATATAATACCAACTATGTTTCAGATCGAAGAAGCAACTTGTTATTAATCGACCGAAAAATTGTACAGAAGAGGAAACCATCGACTGGTGATAAGTTTTTAATTCCTTTTTACGATAGTCACCTTTATAAACAAATAAATACAAAAACCTCAGTCATATCCACACAATGTTCATAAAATGAACAATGGTAGATTTCTGGAGAAAAACAACTACTTTCCTGGCTAATTCCACGCAGAACATTGAATTACATACTCCCGAAATCTATGCATCAACTCGTATAAACGAATACTGATACAAGTGATTCTTTCCTGAATGCCTATTGATTTCAATTTAGCCAGGCCACGCTAGACACCTACAGACCGGTTTCGAGCTCTTCGACTCTCATCAGTGCAGGGCAGTCTCCAGCCAGCAGTCCTAAGACCGCCGTCATAACTTGAATTTACTAGGGGATGGCTCTTTAAAAAAAATCAGATTTCCTGAGTATGTTGACAATGTTGATGACAACATTGTCATCATACCAAAGTCGAGAGAGATGCAGGACTCAGATATAGAGGGGTCATCACAATCAGAATCAGAAACAGATCGAGACAAATACATTTCACCAAGAAATGGAGAAGACTTTAGACGCTGATGATGACGAAGATGAATAGGAAGACGACACAATCGCAGAATAAATGTCGACTCGATTGATTATAAGAATTTCATAATTTCAATACCATTTATATTCAGTGTCCTGTTCAAGTCTATTTTCTAAGTTCATGTCTCTTTCAATACATGACCATAAATGACCATAAATTACATAAATGACGGTCATATGACTGGTCATGGTCACGATTTTTAGATGACCGTCATTTCAAATCACTGATATTGGGGTTCCTAATTAAATAAAGATATATCTATCATGTATTTAGTCGGATTGATTGAGATACTGACCGTCGCTTTCCTTGAACAGATCCTCGGTACCGAACCGGAGAATGTCGTCCAGCTCTTGCTTGGTGAAGTTGGTGCCTTTGCCTCCCATGCCCGGCCGTACCACCAAGTGCGTCAACATCATCTTCCTTTTGGCCACTTGGGTGACTCTCTCCTCCACGCTGCTTCTGGTCACGAAACGATAGATCATAACCTGAAGGAGACAATGATTTAGGGCGTTATTTGCGACACTCAGGAAAATATTGAAGAGAGAAATTCTCTACTGAATCTGACACCGGATTATTTCTTAATAGGTCTGAATTTTTCGGGATTTTCAGGGCAATCAGGAAAATAGTTATTTGCTTTACTAGGCAGCAAAGTAGTAGATTGACTGCCGTGGCTGATAGTTCATAGCCGAACGTAGCGAGGCTAGGAATTCAGCCAAGGCAGTCAATCTACATTTCCTGTCGTGTGAAACATGATTTTTTTCTCCAAATGTTATATAACCAATTGTGTGTAATAATTTTATTGAAAACTCCATCCGTTTGTGTTCACACAATGTCAGTGTCAATTTTGATTACCAATTTTTTTCAAAATACTTGGAACGTTGCATAGCAACAAACTTTTTCTGCCTAGGTAAAAGAACACCTTTTCTGCCTGTTAAGCAGCAGGAAAAACCCACTACCCCTGCCGCTTGGAGAAAAAATATTTTTCGACATGTAGGAGTCAACTGCATTGCTTAAACCACTAATTTTGAAAATTTTAATCAAAAGTTATCTACTAAATCTGACACCCCTTTCTTTCTTTATGGATATAAATACGTGTCTATAAATTTTTTGGGATTTTTGGGGCCATCGGGAAATGATGTTATGCGAACCTGTATGAACCTACTGCATTGTGTGAACTGTTAATTTCGAAAATCTAAAGGAATAGTTTTCTACTAAATCTGACCCCGGGTTCTTTCTTCATGGGTCTGAATTAGTGTCTTGTGAATTTTTCGCCGATCAGGAAAAAATTCTGATCTGTATGAGTCTACAATACATACATTGCTTGAACCGTTACAGACCTCAAACAATTTTTCATTCCATTCAAATGTGTTTTTGTTGCAAAAATGAACCAACGCGTTATTCAAAATTGTTAAAAATTATCCATTTCAATGATTCGATGATGAAACGAGATCATTACCTCAGTTATATGGAATCCCCACACCATTGTATACTCCGAAATGATAGAAAAAGTTCAAAGGAAAATCCTGAGAAACCTTTACTACAGATTTCAGAGATATCAGTGATGTGCTGTTTGTTTCAGACATAATCAGTGATAAATTGAATGTACCTGATCTATTAAGTCATATAAACATTCATGTACCTGAAGTAAAACTACAGAGAAGAAATATTATTTTCTACATTGATGTTAAATCTTTCTCACCCATTGGAAATAGCCAAAGAGCTGTAAATGAATATAACTGTGATATAGATATTTTTACATTTAGTAGTAGTGAAATTAAAGGCTGTTCTCCATCTCCTTAATATTCTCAAAAATCCATAGTTATAGGCTAGTACATATATTAATATTTTTGAAAAAGCTGTTATGAACGTCTTGATTTTATATCTCTTCTCAACCGTTTTCCCCAAAACATGAGTGTATTGTAATCTTTCTGTGTACTGAATTTTTTCTTGTCTTTTTTTGTGTAGTGTATCTTAATTCAGAATGGGAGCCGAGATAGGAACTGTCTGTCTGTAATTGGGCCATGGCCTGTTGATTTGGCAGTATAAATTAAGTGGATTGAATTGAATTACCTTGTTGGCTTGTCCGATACGATGGGCTCGCGAAAACGCCTGGATATCATTGTGCGGATTCCAATCAGAATCATAGATGATAACAGTATCAGCAGTGGCCAAATTGATACCCAAACCGCCCGCTCTGGTCGACAACAAGAACACGAACTGAGCCGCCCCCGGAGCATTGAACCTATCAATAGCCTCTTGACGCTGACTGCCAGTAATAGCCCCATCGATCCTCTCATATTTGTAGCCTTCGCCGTCCAAGAAGTCTTCCAAGATGTCCAACATTTTCGTCATCTGCGAGAAGATTAGCACTCTGTGCCCTTGCTCCTTGAGAATCTTCAACATTTTAGACAGCAGAACGAGTTTCCCAGCGGCTCTAGTCAAGTGCCCCACGTCCCAATTCCCATGAGGCCCTAGAGGAGCCTCTTCTGCAGCAGCTGGGAACAAATAGGGATGGTTGCAGCACTTCTTCAAGTCCATCATGATGTTCAACAAAGACACCTGCTGGCCCCCGCCTTTCGGATTCAAAGCTTCAAAGTTCCTCGTCAAAATGTACTTGTAGTACTTTTTCTGCATCGGGGACAAGTCCACACGAACAATAAACTCCGACTTGGAAGGCATGCTCTTCAATACATCGGCTTTGAGACGTCGCAACATGTGCGGTCCGAGCATCTCATGGAGTTTTTTCACTTGATCTTCTTTGGAGATGTCGGCGAATTCGGCTTGGAAGAGGGCCAGCTCGCTGAACTTTTGGTTGTCGAGGAAGTTGAGCAGGTGGAAGAGCTCCTCGAGGTTGTTTTGCAGAGGAGTGCCGGTGAGGAGGAGCTTGTAGGCGATGTTGTAGCTGTTGAGGAACTTGAAGAACTGGAAGAAAGAAGGAGTCATGAGTGAGCTGTGGATCCTGAGGTACATCAAAATTCGGTGTAAAGAATCTACTTGGAAGGAAAGGCTTTTTGTTTTTTACAAAAATAAATTAATGTTTTAGGCGAGGCCAGGTAGCCGCGCGGACGAAGCGTCACTATCCCAATCCGCGTTTGCTTGCCGGTCGTGGGTTGAATTCCCAGCGACTGCAAACATTTTTCTGATGGCCCAAGAAAATGCTTGGGATCACACGTCAATTCTTTTTTTTTTAAATGGCTTAGTGGACATGGTCCCATCAGCTCGCACAAGTCTCTAGAAGACTTTTAAGGGTTGCTCCTAAGGGGGCAACCGAATGACGGATAGAACAATTTTAGAACAACAATTTTTTTACATTTTTATTGTTATTTTCTCCACCCAACAGCATCCATTTCAAATTATGTTCACACACGGGCATGGTGCTGCTTCAAGAGAAGACAACGTGATTGTTTTCATCACAATAATTTATACACGAGAACAATTTTCAGTAGAAGTAATTTGACATTTCAATGAGAATTTTGTTGTCTAGAAAATCAAACGAAAAAAAAAGCCTTCGAAAATATTATAAGTCCGTAGGACAAGAAATTTCTTTTGGCAGCTCTTTTAGTTGAATTTCCTAAAAGCGATAAAACTCTAATTATAAACAGCAAGTTCACTTCAGCTTATGGAATTTTTTACACATGAATAAAATTTTCAACACTATTAAGAAATCGGTAGCAGATATTTAATTCACATAGAGTTGAAACATAATATTATAGATTGAAAAACATGATGAGTGTGTGTATTGTTTTCATGCTCTGGAAAATCGACATTTGCAATAATTTAACGAATTTTCTAAACCATGGCATCGCATCCAATTTCTTTATAAAAAATAAATCATCACATCATTCAATGTTCTTACTTTGGACTGGTTGCTCTTCAACCTGTGCGCCTCGTCCACGACCAGCACCGACCATTCGATGGATCCCAGACAAGCGGAGTCGATCGACACCAATTCGTAGCTGGTCAGCAGCACGTTGAATTTGATCGACCCGCCTCTGATTTTGGACGCTTTGCCGCCACTGCGGACCGCCCCCTCCTCGAAACTCAGCTCGTTCTCGCGGATAATCGCTCTGCAATCCTTGTCGCCTGAAGAAAAAAATCGGTGAGATTTCTTCATCTTTCGGATCGCTCGAGAAGGAATCCTTATTATTAATTCATTCATTCAACGTGAACACATGAGGCGATCTGAAAATTCAATTTTCGTTCTAGCGGATCACCGCCCTGCAATCCTTGTCGCCTGAAAAAAATTCTAGATTTTCTTATATTTCGGATCGCACGAGAAGGAATTCGTGTAATCAAAAGGTTAACACATGAGGCAATCTCAAAATTCATTTCTCGTTCTCGCGGATGATCAATCTGCAATCCTCATCGCCTAAAAATCGATATTTGAAGGTTTGATTTGAATAGATCCGGCTTGATGGGCCAATATCGAACATGTTTGATAGATAGTGAACTGTGTTTGCTTTAAAAAAGTTGGAAAATGGCCTACTAGGTCGGGATCACGTGAATTTCACTTTATGTCGAAAGTTTATTGTTTCAAATCAATCGCTAAAAATAAGCATATTTGAATTTCATAAACGTTTACAGAGAAAAAGTTTTCTATCCAATTCTACACATGTGTCTAATAATAGTAGTGTTATTTTATTATATTATAAATTATTATTCATTCATTAATTCAATCATGTTTTGAAAATATAACAGATCTGTAAATTCTACGATTGGCAAAAAGATCTTTTGTGAAAGACTTGGCAGTCTTGAAGGTTTGATTAGAATAGATTCGGCTCGAAGGACCAATATGTTCGATTCTTGATAGATAGTGGACTGTATTTGTATGGATATGATAATGAAATGAAGATAAATATGAGAATTGCAATCCTCCATTTTATTGATTTTATTGATAAATCTCATTTTTCAATAAAACGTCATGTTCACATTAAATGAAAATCTCTCTCTATCTAGGTGATTTGGGTTAAATCTTTTATGTAGGTTATTTTGGGCGAATTTTCGTATTTTGAGCTCAGGATTATATAGCTGAAATATTTCCAATTAGTAATGAATCACCCTGTATATAAATTATGAAAATTAAAGGACCCAGCACCCCCCTTGTGGTACACCACTTCTAATTTCAATAAAAACTTATAGGAATTCCTCACATTGTAGTCTAATGTTGGTATACTTTTTGTTTTCTATTGCTTAAATATGATTTCAAGATACTCACCCACATAGGTGATACAATAGAAATCCGGCGCCCAAGTCTCGAACTCCCTCTCCCAATTGATGATCGTCGAGAGCGGCACGCTGATCAAAAACGGCCCCCTGCAATGCCCCTCCTTGTACAGCGAATACAAGAACACTATGGTCTGGATGGTCTTGCCAAGGCCCATCTCGTCGGCCAGGATGGTGTCAATGCCGTTGGCCCAAGAATATCGCAGCCAGTTGAGCCCTTCGAGTTGGTATTCATGCAGCATGCCGGATTCGTCCAGATAGTAGGGTTGTTTGTCCAGTTTTTTTTTGAGGTCGGTGAGCGGTTTGTCGGGTGGAGGAGTGTATCTGCGCCTGAGAGAATTGCGAAGTTCAGGTAATCCCGACCGTTTCCTTATGAACTGTCTAAGAATCTTTGAAAATATAGGGTTGTCCAAAAAAAAAACAGAATTTCGTTCTTGAATAATAACTTTTTTTATTTCATTTATTTTGGTCTTGTTTGGAAGGAGACAAAACGTCAATTTCATATTTTTCGAATTCTTTCAGGAAAAAAAAATGGCGGACACGCCTAAACTTGGTCAAACTTTCAAACTTGCTGGAACTTTTTTGAGTCCCACTGTATATTTTTGCGTATGATATTCTGAAAGCGCGAATTTTTCTGAATACAACTGAGTCCGGACACAACTATACTTCTATCCTTTTCTGTTTTCAAAAAATGCATTGATGATTGAATAAAGGAATAAGACATATATATCGAGCTCTGTCTTTTCAATTCCCCTAGTATCAATGATTGTCAGAAACAATTTTGAGGGTTAGATTATTTGTCAAACCGTTCATAGCCGTAGGTAGAATAACTATTAGATTTTCAAATAATGAACAACAGGGTGTTCAAATTTCGAATCGATAATTTTCGTAATAAATTCCTGAGATGGCTATTACAAATTTTCGTTATCAGATATTTCTTTCCTTCATTAGATATGAGAAAGATAATTCAAGTGTTCTACGTGGTATCACATATAGCCAAGAAAATATAGTTGTTTTCTGTTGGGATATAGAAAAATAGAAGATATATAATTGTTTCAATATAATTTTAATTGTGTCGGCTTCCCACCTCTTCCTGCAGTCTACATTCACCAGTAATTTTTTTAATTTGATCTGAATCAAAAACACCGTGAACTGATGACATAGCACATTGCAATTTCCCCCTAAATCTTCTAGTTTTGATTTCAAACTTTCAATTTCTCTCCGCATCATCTCATTCTTATTTTCTTTCTCTGCGATCGTATCATTCAGTAATTCCCAATACGATGACGACGGAACTCTTTTTTTGAAGAGATTGACGGCACAGCAGACTCTTTCAATTTGAAATCCATCAGCTTGAAAGAATCTCTATCAAAATGGGCCTAAAATTCATCTTTTTTGTACTGTTTTTACAAGTGAATTCGAATATTTACCTTTCTTGAAATTAATTTTCCATTCTGGACGTTTCATTGCATTCTTCCATGACATTATCTTTAAAGGATCATTCGGTAAATTGAATAACTCGAATCCTTTTTCTAATGAATTATCGCAATAATGTACGCAGCAGAACATTGAACATTCAAAGTGACAGTGACAGAAATTCGAAATAATTAAAATAAGTGGGCCAGACGACTATGGTGTTTCGTCACATTGTCAGGTGGGCAAACCAAATGAAACAAAATATTAAAAACCCCAACGGCTGTCAGTTTTGTGTCCGGACTCTTGTCTAAAGTATATACAGGGACTCTAAATACAACAAGATGTCGAACATTCAAATCCGTCAAAAAATGACTGATACATGACTGAATAAATACAGGTGTGTTGTCACATTTAGATTCCGTGTTCGGTTACTTTCGATGCAGTGAGTAGATAATAGTCATTTATACACCAAGGTAGTAAAGAATATCATTGTTACCCAGAGACCAAGATTATATCCCGAGGCTTCAGCCGAGGGTTATAAGGTCCTGTGGTGATAATATTTTTTACTACCAAGGTGTATATTGAATTTTTCTCATCACTAGCAATATATTTCAATCATTATAGTTCTGCGAATCTGAAATGTGGACCTATATCACATGAAAGCACCCCTTTTCAATTCTGATTGAAATCTAGTCACCATGACAGCATATGACAAGTCGTTATTGATAAATACCTACTAGATTCGAGTGCCATACCTGTTAATATCGCATAAGCACAGTGAATTCGGGTTGATTTTAACAGAGATGGATATGTCTTTATTGACTAGTGGTTCATATGACGAAAACTACCTTGGTAGTAAAAACATACTTTAGGCCTTCAACTGGAGTGAATAGTGGTAGGTTCTATAGCTAGTGGTGGAAAAAATATATTATTGCTATCATAACTAGGGCTGCGCGATATTGGATTTCAGTTATCGGTTATCGATAAGTTGAAATTTATCGATTTATTTATTTATTTATTTATTGAAAATGTTACTTCCAGTCAGAATCAAGTTCTGGTATAAGGAAGTATAGTTAACAATAATACCTAAAACTATACAATTATAATAAACTAATGAATAATAAAATATTTGAAAACATTAATTATTAAATTTTGACAAATCATTTCATATTGGTGAGCAAAATTCAATTTGAATATGAATCAAAAGTTGAAAAAAAAAAGTCATCTATTTCGTTCAGAAATTATAAATTTATCGATATTTATCGATTTATCGATATATCCATATTTAAAAACTTAAATATCGTTATTCGATATATTTATCGATATATCGATATATTTATCGATATATCGATATTTTTTCCCAGCCCTACTCATACCAACAGCCCTCAAAACTTTTCAAACTTGTTTTTAGTTTTTCAGTTATATCGAAAAAAGTGAATTTTTGGAATATCTATTTTTTTTTTCTCCGTTATTATTAGATACAAAAAAACTGAAAAAACTTTCTCATGGCAACTGTTGATGACGTTAAACGTGGTGATTTTTTTATGCGACGTTTTGTATCCGTAGAAACGTCCTCAACTTTTGTTTTTTAAATACGATCCTGATAATTTTTTCACAGATTCTGAAAACTTTTTTATTCTGAATTCAACCATGTATAAGGTGGTTTCGATGTGTTTCGACCTATTTTTAGCCATCGATAGTTATCGATATATCGATATTTAAAAACTTAAATATCGTTATTCGATATATCGATATATTTATCGATATATCGATATTTTTTCACAGCCCTAATCATAACATCATTTCATGTACCATGAGACCTTGAACTTTCAGATTGTAATTTCGAATTCCTGATATTTTTTATTTGTTTCTAGGAAAAACATGGTATGATGTTTATGTTAAAAGTGGTATTTTATCTAGTGAGAAAAAAATGATTGGGAGACGAGCGTAGCATAGCGCATTTCCCAGCTGAATATTAAAACATCCGAAATCGACCATTATCATACTTACGGCGTCCGATCGTCCTCGTCCGCAATCTCCCTTGCCTTCGACTTCTTCCCCTTGCCCTTCTTGGACTTGGACCCGCCGCCGGTGCAAGCCGCCCTCAGGTCCATGTAGTACTCTATAGCCGGCTTCAAACCCGGCATGTCGTCAGAGTCCTCCTCCCACGTGGAATGGTCGTAGGTGAGTTCGCGCCACTTGACCAGATACAGGGTGCGACCGTCGCGCATCGTGCGATGATTGATGACGCGATGGACGACAAGCCACTCGGGTTTGACGCCGTAACGATAGTACTTTTCTTCGAGTTCTTCATCGTTGTTGTTGCCGCCCATTTTCAGGAATCTACCCGAAAATAATAAGGATAATTCTTGAGAGGACTGTTGAGTGAGTAGGAAGATTAAACTGGAATTCCTCAATGTATGTTTTGAAAACGAAGACGGCAATATATCGGCATCTATCATCTCTCATGTTAGTGTTTTACAGTTGACTAAGGCGAGAATTTGGAGATCCTACAGCCTCATCTTCACTAAAGTTCCTATATTATAACCTTGACATCCTTTTGGCGTTTTTTTTTTTTAATATTTATAATGTAAAGATATCCTGACAGCCCTGACAGTCATAAAGAACCACAAAAAAAAGATCAAAAATGCCGAGACGAAGTTCCCTAATGTACTTGACACTTTTCTTCTGACTTTTTTATATAGTTTAAGAGTATGGACACTGGCAAGCACTGACAATCAGACATAATCACAAATACATAGATGAAAACAGCGGGAACTGACAGTACACGAACGTATATCACATCAATTTCAAAGGTTTGTTGAACTAAGAACGAATCGGCAAAATAATAAGCAGGTTTGTGCTGTTTCCAACTGTAAAAGTACTGGGGGAATCGATTTACTTCATTCGAATTCCCATCAAATAGAACATTACATTACAAAAATGGAGAGAAAACATGTAGCGGCCGGAGTGGAATATAAAGTTAAAAAACAAGATTTGTGAGGTAGGTAGTCAAATTTTTTGGTATAATATGGAATATTAATTATCGCATATCGATTAGACCTTCAGACCAGAAGATGGTAATGGTAAACAACAGAATTTGTATTGAGATAAAGAGCAAGAATTTATAAAAAGGATGAATATCAAAGACACAATATCCGATTTAGAACAAAAATGGCATGGTCAATGGTCGTAGGTGAGTCCGCGCAACTTGACCAGATACAGGGTGCGATCGTCGCGCATAGTTCCAAGATTGATCACACGATGGACGACGAGCCACTCCGGTGTGATGCCGTACTGGTAGTACTCGAGTTCTTCGTCGTTGTTTGTGCCGCCCATTTTCAGGAATCAGGAATGTAGAACTTTGAAAGAGTGGAATGATGAGGATCTTGCTTCGCTCAAGTGAAATTGAAACTAGAGGGGATGGGATACCAGGTCATCAACGTCTAACAAGGTGTTAAAACATCGCTGGGTACTTGGCTGTAAAGTTTAACAATTCCCATTGATTTGCTGAACTGACTGCACATTTCAAGAAGGAAACAAGAGGTTTACTGAACTAACACATGTTATTTCATTTAATGATTTTTCAAACTCCAACTTCTGCATTTGCCAAATTGTAATGTAATACTTGTTTATCTCTTGGAGCGCACGAAAGGAAATTCCTATAATGTTCGAAGAACATCGTGCGTACCTAGGGAGGAAAAAGAGAGGAGTTAGGTGTTGGAATTTCAATAGTTGTCAATGAGAAATTCAGCAATTTTTTGAATTTGGCAGGAAAATCTGTAAATCGATTAGAATTTAAATTATGTATATGTCGGCGTTAATTAGTGAAATCCGTCATTCCCTGAAATGCCTAGCCATTTCACGTATTGTCGGCAAACAGCGTAACAGCGTAACTTTCATTTTCAGCCGTTACTCTGTTTGCCGGAGGGTTGAGAAAGGAGAATATCCTTTCTGCATTTGCATAAGAAGGGAGACTATTTTTCCGCCTAAATGAACCTTCTTCCTAGAAAGTATAGTTTTCAGAGACAACAGAAGAGACTACTGCTTCTGAACAACCTAAGCTGACTGGGCCTAAATGAACCTTCCTTCCGTCATTACAGGGAATGCCTGAAAATATTAGGCAAACGGTGTACGAAATTTAGAGTTACGCTGTTTGCTGACCAGGCATTCCAGAAAATGACGGATTTCACTGTTTGACGCCGACATATAGATTCGGAATCCTCGTTGACATTTCACGCCGATAGATGGTTTTCAATAAGAAATTCATCAATTTTCGATTTCCTCACCTGGTGCACCTCGAATCCGCCTCGTCCATCGGCTCCTCCAACTTGGGCGGCTCCTCCATATCGTACTTCCTCGTGTAAGCCCGGAACATCAACGGATGATAAACGTCCAGCTGCATCTCGGTGATCCAGCTGCAGTGCCAGTAGGACCGTTCCTGCCACTTGACGAAGAACTCGCGGTGGCGAGTGCGCGGCAGCTCCTCGCCGACGCTGTTCTTTTTCAGAGGGTCGTCCACCCATTTCCACGTCAGGATTTTGGCGGCCTGCGTGGCGATAAGAACGTTTTGATTGTGTTAATTACCCCAAGAAAAATAATATGTTTCTTGAGGTAACACATATCGAAACAAAAATTACGTTATAAAATGACGCATTACTATGTTACAACACGTGACAGTTAATGTATTAATGCATATACAATTATATACACATCAATAGACATCCCATCAATCAGATATATGCAATTCGTTCATAAAGATAATCACGAGGGGTCTACCACTATGTCCAATATGTCGATAATATTCGATAATATCCGATAATATCGGTCCAATTCTACGTCCAATCTGTCCAATCCGTGTAAGTTCTTGAGAGACTGGATTAACCCTCGGATTATCAATTCTGTCAATAATTCCGCAGAGTCATCCTCACCATTCGCGATTTCATTCATTTATCCGTATTCGGTGTATACTTTTTCATGATTTATGGATGAATAGCAGTGTCTAACTATTGTTATTTAGTATAAGCACTCATACCTCCTAAGGCAGTAAATCAAGAGTGCGCAAATGTACAAGTGTCTGTTATTATATACACCATTCGCGATTTCATTCATTATTGGTGTTTGGCGCTTTGGATTAAGGAGGTCTAGATAGTAGTTCTCTCGGTGGTGTTCATCACAGTTTTTTTTTGACAGTTCAATGTAGATTATTGAAGACCATGCAGTGCTAATCAGTCTAATACCGAATGTTTGGCTAGAATTTCGCATTGTTATTATTCGAAACAACAGAAACGTCACATTATAACATGTTAAAAAAAAGGAATCGATAAAATCATGAAGGAAATTAGTGGCGGACACCCGCATCTAGGGCACTTCCAATCGCCGTCGGGCACCTCGGTTAATGGCGGCGCGATTTCATTCTTTTATACGTGTTTGACGTTTAGGATTGTTGGCGTATATTTTTCGTTGATACATGAATGAATAGCGGTGTCTATCTATCGTTATTTATTCTCAACACTCACCCGCAAATGTACAAGTATCTGTTATTATCCCCATCATTCAAGATGTCATTCATTTATCCGTGTTTGGCGTTTAAGATTGTTGGCGTATAATTTTTAATGATTCATGAATGAATCGCGCTATCTATCTATTGTTAATAAGGATCTGTTATTATCCCCACCATTCGCGATTTCATTCATTTATCCGTGTTTTGCGTTTAGAGTTGTTAGCGTATACTTGTTTATGATTCATGAATGAATTGTGGTATCTATCTATTGTTAATTAGTCTGAGCACTCACCCGCAAATGTACAAGTGTCTGTTATTATACCCACCATTCGCGATTTCATTCAATTATCCGTGTTTGGCGTTATGAGGAATGTTGACGTACCCTTATGAATGAATTGCGATGTCTACCTATTCTCAATCAGTCTGAAGTATGTATAGTAATGTTAGTGGTGTTCATCGCTGAACTATAACCTGAGAAGTTTCTAGTTTTGTTTTGACAGTTCAATGTAAATCATCGAAGATCATGAAGTATAATACCGAATTATTGGTCAGAATTACGCATTGCTATTGGTGGAAACAACCGAAAAGGTAATATTTTGACATGTAAAAAATAATTGCTAGAATCATGAAGGGGAATCAGCCCAAATGATTTATATTACCTTGCCAATTAGGGGCGGACACCCGCACCTCGGGCACTTCCAATCGCCGTCGGGCACCTCGGTCAATGGCGGCTTCAAACAATGCGTGTGATAGGCCGATGGACACGAGTCGCAGCACAGCAGCTCGCCGCCATCTTTGCACACGCGACAGAATTCCTGGTGCTCGTCCTCTTCTTCTTCTTCGCCGCCGTCGTCTTCGCGCTCGGCCGGGCCCTCGTTCTCGCAGTGAGGGCAACTCCACTTGCCCTCGGGCGTCTCTTCGAGCTCGGGTTCAAGGCACACCAGATGGTAGGCGCTGAGACGAAAGAAAATTCAATGGGCGAGCGGACTATTTCTTTTTCTCAAATAGAATCATCAATCGATTTCATTCAGGATTGACTTGACAAAGGAAATTATGTATTAGCGATTTTCATGGATCTAAAAAAGGCTTTTGATACAGTTGACCACAATATACTTCTGAAAAACCTTGCTTCAATGGGAATCAGAGGAATTGGACACGATCTCTTGAAATCATATCTTGAAAATAGAACTATTATAACTAAAATTGATAACTGTGAGTCTAACATACTATATTTAAACAAAGGGGTTCCTCAAGGATCAGTGTTGGGTCCAATTCTTTATCTATTATACATTCAAAATATTGAAAGAATGAATTTGATAGGAAACTATACCATATATGCAGACGATACAGTGCTTCTATATGAGAATAAAAACCCAGTAGTTCTAGAACATATCATAAATGAGGACTTGAAAAAAATTGAAAAATGGCTTTATTCCAATCTTCTTTCTCTCAATTCTAATAAGACTCAATATATGATTTTTCGTCAAAGAAATAAACAAAATATTGACCTGAATATTAGAATAAAAAATGAACGTTTGAAACAAACTGCCCATAATTAACATGGGGAAAGCATATTGACATCCTCATAGGAAAAGTATCTCCCATTATTGGTGCTTTGAGAAGATGTCCTAAACTTAGTACATATACATTAAATATCATTCTCTATTCACATATACTCAGTCGAATTAACTATCTCATAAATATTTGGGGATCTTGTTCCAAAAATAGTTTCAACAAAATTTCTGTTCTATATAAAAAGGCATTGAAAGTATTGTATCGTCTTCCATAATATGATACTCCAACGAATCAACTGTATAAGGAAACAAACACATTTTCTTTGGAAGAGCACTTTTTAATCAATACTCTCAAAATTTACTATTATATCATCAACAAAAAGCTTAAATCAAATTTTATATTAATCAGGAATTCCGAAATTCATGATCATCACACTAGACAATATTACTTGTTTCATCTTGAAGCTGCAAATTCTAAACTTGGTCAAAAAAAGTTTACACATGAGGCGATTTTGAAATTCAATAAATTACCAGATGATATCAAAAACAGCCCAAATATTATGCAATTCGAAAATAAAGTTAAGAAATATATTTATATGCAAAGGAATGATCAAAGCTGAAAGACTATGAATTTCCTTTCTTCTTTTTCACTGTTTTTATTTTTCCCCTTCTTGTTCACTATAATATGACTGTATCTTAATGATATGTAAGTTTTGTTCACTATTTGTAATTTCAATTATAGAACAGTCGATAATACTTAATGAATGATCTTATACCAGGAATTACTGTCTGATCATTCATGTCATTCCTACTAGAAAATTAATTATACTTTATATATTATTTGTATGAAATGTATCAATGAAGAAGAGAATGTAATGCAATAACTGAAATAAATAAAATAAAAAAAAATGACCTTTCAAATAATAATGGTAATTAAAGAGCTTTATTGGATACCCAAAAGGCTCCCGAACGAGGTCCTTCAGCCTGTGATACACAGTGATTATACATTGAGTTTATATTCATCATTATTGTATGTACAAGATATATGGAATTATTAAATTTGCTAGTGTAAAAAAAGAAGAAAAGTCCATTGCGAGGCAAGAAGGTTGAAGGAATTTCGTCTTCTGAATTGATTAAGCATTCCAATAGTGTTTTCCGGAAACTTCCGTCTTGGGTTCACTGTTGGATCTCTCTCTAAACACTGGAATTGGATAATTTGGAAATTGGATTCGTTTTTGGAAAACTTCAATGTTAGCTTTTTCAGTCTCTCAGACATTGGTTGCACCCTGGTCAGCCGATATAGAAGTTTTTGGTAATGGCTCTCAGGCTAGCTCTTTCTGCTACTTTCAAATTGTTCAGTGCCGTCTTCCTCGTGTTTATGTATATTGGGAGAGCATACTCAAGAATTGGGCGGCAAATGGTTTCGTAAATATGTGCTGCAGTTCTTTTGCTAATTCCTTTATTCTTGTAGGTTAGGCTTCGAAAATGTTTAGCTCTTGTGATGCACTTTTTTTCCATCAACTGGGTATGATGGTTAAAGTTCAGTTTTTGATCTAAGTGCACTCCCAGATATTTATTTAACTAATGCCCTAGTTCTCACTACCACTACATGATTGTTCATAGTTGTGGGTGGAGAGTATCAGTTGGGATTTTTCTGGATTTGGTTTTAGCCTCCACTTGTCACACCATCTCATAGTGTTCCGAATTGCGTTTTGTAACTCTTCAACTGCTTTATGATGACTTATAATGGCTGTATCATCAGCAAATTGTATGCCATAGATGAATGTGTTTTGATTTTGTAGATTTTGATTGTTCCAATTAATAACCTTTCAATTCCATATCTTTTTGAATTTTTTCGCTCGATTTCAAGGTGCAGAAATCATCAATATTGCCTCGATAATTTTCATAACATAATAGCTAGAAATTTACCGCAAATAAAAACTGACGTCACGATTTCGTAGGTAGGGCCAGACCATAGCACAGTTGACATATGTTAAAATACGAACGGGAACTTCTGAAATATCATTTGTCTAATAATTCGAAAATTATCAATTTATTCTTGATTAGTATTGAAAAAATCCATTATCTTGTAATTTTCCATCATGTTGTGTCTTATTGCATATGATGAATTTGTGTCAATATTAATTACATTAATTCACACTAAATGAGATATGGTCCGGTAAAAATGACAACACAGGATTGTCGACGTTGTCTTGTCAGTTCTCAGCGCTTAGCACAGCATTGCCAAGTCTCTCGCCTAGCCAATATTTACATAATGCTTTGTTATAGAATATAAGAAATATTTTGACTAGCTGGTAGCTCGAATAGGTCACAAACTAATAACTATTACATCATGACTTCCTCTTATTAAGTCAAATGAAATATTTGATTTGGATGTAGTTTGATTAAATGACAGCAGGACTCTAACAATTTTTTTAATAACTTGATTATGATTGGTGACTTGACACCTTTGCTTTATGAGTGTAAATTGAAGATTATCTGACCAATAATGAAATAGCATAAAAACTGACGTCCCGATATATCCGACTTATCGAAGAACATGGCTAAATGGCGGCTATATGACGGCCCGTTTGAAATGAGCTCTGAAATTTAACAACTTCGAACAACGTGTAGATATATTATTTACATCAAAACCGCTCAAAAGTGTGGCAAAAATTAATTCAGGTCCGGAACAATACAGTGAAGCAATTGAATGCCAATTATTCACTGCCAGTCCAGTCGCCCATTTAGTGAAACGGCATTAGATAGTTCTGTAGCAGGATAAGAACGTCGAAATGCAGTTGATTATTACCCAGATGATCAATCGAAAGGTCAAGAAGACCGTGATTGTTCATAAACTAGAAATGATATCACCATTATGACAAATCTTACTATTTCCGAGTTTTTGATATTTATTTATTCCACTGGATCTTATTTGATATAGTATACACTTCTCCAAGAAATTAACGCACCACCAAAAAGTAGACGAAATTTTAGGAAACATTTTCGTCGGAAGTAGTTGTCCAATTTGGGTGTTTTATATTTTGAATGACTGGTTATTTCCATTGTTGTGCGAACTGTATTCGCATAAAAAAACTTTTTTTTTTTTCATGAAATTTTCAAGATTCTAGAGAGTGTAATATATACACTATCGAGTTATAATTAAAATCACACTTTAGACTTATCTTTTTTCAACTTTTCTTATTTGGATTCACTCCATTATCTTTCCTATTACTCGAGAAACACTATTTTATAGCGTGACATGATTTTATGGAAAATGAATATTCAAATTAGATAACGAAAAAATGAAACAGAATGTGAAGACAAGAATTAAATGAAAGGCTCAGTAGTATTTCCGCCGCGGGAACGAACAATTTCTTGGAAAACACCTACACCTACACCCAAAATAAGAGACCTAATGTCATGTTGGTCCAGGTCGTCCCAAATTTGAATCATCTGGCACCTGGCATTATCTTGCATCAACAAAAATCCTTAGAATATATGTGGTTCTCAATCCACCGATAGGTACCTTTCAGCTAAGAGGCTTTCATTTATGATCACAAGTTCCATGCAACCAGTCAAAGAAATGTCTTCCCAGATCATAGCCTGCTGCTTTTGTGCTTATAATGCCAATGGGGGCTAACATTTTCAGTCTCACCAGTTGGAGATACTAAAATGTGAGGTCAATTTCGAAATCAAAAATTACACGACTCAGTCTACGGCTTCATCGTGCAATTCTCACATGCGTGCGTCAATAATGTCTATATCCCACTTGTCACGTTGTTAACGCCCTGCGTTAATTCAGAGTTTAAGTTAAACAAATATTGTTTTTTTTTTCATTATTATTTTTTGGTTTGTTTATCATAATCACGTGAAATATCAATTTTCATTTGGGGTTAAAATATCAATTCATTCGCACTGAGAATAGTCAATGAAAGAATACTCTCATTCTGCATCATATTCATGCTCCCTCGTATAGTCAAAATTCGGTCATTTGTTCGGCCGACCGAGAAGATGCCGATTTGACGGACGTTGAGATACATGATCAGTATCAACTCGTGACTCGTAAAATCAATCTCAGTGGAAAACACTCGCTCGCTCTCTCTCTCTCTTTTTCATCAATTTGACGGTTCGCAACTACATCGATTGTTCGGGAAATTCGAACCAAATATCAGTGTCTCCAACCAAAACCATACAGTCCACTAGCTCAGAAGAATGGGTGGTTGCAACCCCCGGGAATGCTAAGGAGACGGCCGGCTGCATAGGATATAACTTCCAGGTAGGTCCGATACTTGGCAGAATTTTGACTTTTTTCTTAAATGCAACCATACTTCATTCTCTCATCAGCCACATTTGGTCACACGTAAATAATTATTAGAACATGCAAAACTCTTTATAAGCATGACTCCACTCTGGTCCGAATCGAACAAACTAAAAACCCAATATGAAATCCTTACCGCGGACACGTATCGCAAAGGATGATCTCGCCCCCTTGCTGACACACCTCGCAGTAGTCCTGGTGCTCGTAGCTCTCCTCCTCTCCACCCCCTCCAGCGCTGGCCGCCCCGCCCGCCGCCCCCTTGGCGCCGCCCTTCAGCTTGCGCTTCTTCTTCGTCTTGCTGCCGAACTTCGTCTTCGCCTTGCGTTTCGGCAGCGGCGCGGAGGCGTCCTCGGAGCCGCCCACCGAGTCCGGTTGGCCCGCCCCTCCGGAGGAGGAGCCGCCCCCTGGGGCGGATGCGGCTGTCTTCGGGTCCTCGGATTCTTGGAGCATTTGCTCGAATTCGGCGTCGGAGTCGCGGTCCGAGTTGCCGGCGCTTGCGTCGCCGTCCTCGTCCTGAAGGAGGAAAATAGTTGATAAGATTCAAGTCAAAACTAAACTCAAAATTATTTATTCATTTATTTATTTATTTAATATTAATACATCCAGCAGGCTTACGCCCATTTAAAGGTGTATGTAATAATACATGGTTATTAGTTGGATCGCTAAAAATATATACCTATATCTATACATAACTCGAAAAGAATATAAACTAAGATATGTGAAACTAGTTCCTCATGGCACTAAATAGTCTATGCTCGAATTGAGACAGCGAGACAGCGAGAGAAAAAATATATCAATACTTTGTAAATTGTAACTTCGGCACATTGTTGTAAGGGGACAATGGAAGTGATGTTGTGTGTTGGGCACAGCAATGCGGCACGTTATATCTCATCTTGACACAGATCGTGGTACATTGAAATCAATCAGAGAAAGTAATGAGGATGAATCGCTATGATTATGGATTATTTTATGCATAAAAGTTAAATCGATTATTTCGCGATGTTTTCTAAGAGAAAATAAATCGAATTCGTTTAGAAATAGGTCATAGCTATAGTGTCTTTGAGGATACACGTCATATTTTTTATAGTATGCAGATTTCAAAAACTGTCTTTGCACTGATTCAATGGCTTCGATATATTTGGAATGACATGGATTCCATACGACACTGCAGTAATCTAATTTACTTCTCACCAATGAGAAGTAGACACTGCGCAAAGCACCAAATGATTTGAACTCCTGACAGGTACGAATCAAAAATCCCAAAGACTCCATAGCTCTGCCTATTACACTTTCTATATGAGTGGAGAATGTCAACTTTTGGTCAAAAAGAACTCCTAAATCTTTGAATTGTTGAACTCGTGCTAGTTGTGAAGTATCCAAGTGATAATCGAATGAAATTGGGGTAGATTATCAAAATGATTCGTGACAAAAAACAAATGTGAACCAATGAAAACTGAGTAAACAGGCCGCTTTGACGGCTTTCAAGAACGCCGATAGGTGGCGTACGCTTATTTACTATCGCGAATAACAAGATATTAAAAGCATCCCTAGGTACGCGCGATGTCCCATGAACATTATGGGATTTTTCTTTGGTGCTCTCCAAGAGATGAAAGAGATCTAGTTAGCAACAACTGACTGCTCGAATTGTGCTTGACTGTCCAAATGGGCGAGTGGACTAATATTGAAATATTGGCATTCAATCACTCCACTGTATCGTTAGGGACCTAAATTAATGTTTGCAACAACTTTCACGCTCTTCTTATGTAAATAATGAGTCTATGCGTTGATCAAAATTGTTGAATTTCAGAGCTCATTTTAATCGTACCTTCATGGCCACCGATACGTCGAATAAATGGTGACGTTAGTTTTTGTGCTATTTCGTTATTGGTCAAATAATATAGCATTCTCAATCAAGCAGTAAGTTATCAGAAAGATGTTACGAGTCCTGTCGTTGAATAAAACATAATAGCAGGAACTCATGATATTATTGTAGATTCTTGACTTTTTCGAGCAACCAGCATGTCCAGGTATTTCTTATACTCCATGACAAAATATCATGTAAATGTTGGAGACTTGGCAACAATGTGCTGAATGCTGAGGACTGACAAGACCACGCTCACAAGTCGTGCGCCGTGTTGTCACGTTTACCCGAGCGTTTACCGGTTCAAAGGACCCCGCACTTTTAGTACGTGAAATGGTTCTCGGTGAGATTTTCTGAATTTTCAGTATGTTGTAGAATGCGATGAACTGATTGAACCTGCAGAATCGTAAAGTACTTTGATGAACAGATTCTGAGATACAGGGCGTTGAAGTTACAAATCGGTATTTTTCATTTAATTATTTTCTCGAAATTCAAAGATGCCAAGATTGCCAAGTACAATTTTTTTCGCTCATATCATCAACGAACCTCCATATTACTCAACATAATTCAGATGGTTCAGATAATGTAATTGTTTACAGAGCGAAACATATAAACATTTCAGTGATGTCTGAAAATTCGATGTAATAATGAAATATCGAAAAAATAATTCAGGCATGCAATATACTATTCTCATTCCATCATGAATCACAATTCATACATTTCATACAGGGTGATTTGAAAAATTGGTGACACCTAAGACCGATTTATTCATACACATCCTGTATATTCGGATGAATTGTTAACCTCCCAAGATAGCTGATACCGCGTATGAACATGATTTCGTTGAGATATACAGGGTGATCATGAAGATTTTCGATGATGAAAATGACAAAAAATTGTGTTTTTTGAAATCACTCTGTTATTCATGATTAACTCGGTGAAATTCCCTAATTATTCTTTAATATATCCATCATTCGCTCCTCAACGCTGTCTTGAAAATTCAGTTTCCTATCATGACGGGTATCATAGTTATTAATTCAGGAACTTACCATTTGCATGAAGAGTTGAAGAAACTTGTTCAGTTATATTCGCATAGTGGCCGATATTTTTCACAAATAGGGAAACGTGAGAATGTGGAGACGAAAATAAGTTTAGTATTCATATGCAGGGTGAACATTAGAAATTCAATAACAATAGCAGATATATGAATTTTTAATAATATTAATGTAATGTACAGATAGTTAGGCGAATTTCGTTGGTATACAAGCTCTGCCAAAATGAAAAACGAACAATACCTAGGAGATGGGAGAATGATTCGGTCTTTCACGCTTCTATTTCTAATAGGGAGAGTTGAATCCTGGAATCATTCTCCCATCTCCTAGGTATTGTTCGTTTTTCATTTTGGCAGAGCTTGTATACCAACGAAATTCGCCTAACTATCTGTACATTACATTAATATTATTAAATTCATATATCTGCTATTGTTATTGAATTTCTAATGTTCACCCTGTATATGAATACTAAACTTATTTTCGTCTCCACATTCTCACGTTTCACTATTTGTGAAAAATATCGGCCACTATGCGAATATAACTGAACAAGTTTCTTCAACTCTTCATGCAAATGATAAGTTCCTGAATTAATAACTATGATACCCGTCATGATAGGAAACTGAATTTTCAAGACAGCGTTGAGGAGCGAATGATGGATATATTAAAAAATAATTAGGGAATTTCACCGAGTTAATCATGAATAACAGAGTGATTTCAAAAAACACGATTTTTTGTCATTTTCATCATCAAAAATCTTCATGATCACCCTATATATCTCAACGAAATCATGTTCATACGGTATCAGCTATCTTGGGAGGTTAACAATTCACTCGAATATACAGGATGTGTATGAATAAATCGGTCTTAGGTGTCACCAATTTTTCAAATCACCCTGTATGAAATGTATGAATTGAGATTCATGATGGAATGAGAATAGTATATTGCATGCCTGAATTATTTTTTCGATATTTCATTATTACATCGAATTTTCAGACAACACTGAAATGTTTATATGTTTCGCTCTGTAAACAATTACATTATCTGAACCATCTGAATTATGTTGAGTAATATGGAGGTTCGTTGATGATATAAGCGAAAAAAATTGTACTTGGCATCTTTGAATTTCGAGAAAATAATTAAATGAAAAATACCGATTTGTAACTTCAACGCCCTGTATCTCAGAATCTGTTCATCAAAGTACTTTACGATTCTGCAGGTTCAATCAGTTCATCGAATTCTACAACATACTGAAAATTCAGAAAATTTCACCGAGAACCATTTTACGTACTAAAAGTGCGGGGTCCTTTCCTCTAGTGTGAATTAATATAATTATTATTTACACAAATGTGTAAGCATTCAACCACAACACATACACATTTTAACACAATTGCTTTTTCAATGCTTTAGGCATATCCCAACTGATAATATTCAACCACAATATCTCGAAATAATTCACTTTCAGTCAGTGTGAATAATCATATAGTGAGGACGAGCACAGTGGCCAAGTACTTAGCAGTTCACTTGGACCCGAAATTTAACTTTAATCACCACTCTTAACTCATGAAAAAAAAAAGAGTCAAACATTTTCGTAACTCAACATAATGAACTGAGGAATTAGCAGAAAAACAGCTGCTCACATTTACAAAGCCATATGCCGCCCCATACTTGAATATGCTCAACCAATATATTATATCGACATCAGAAAGCCACAAATGAAGAATCTAGAAGTAGCAGAAAGATCTAGCATGAGAGCATTTATTTTCGTTATTGCTCTGAGAGCAATAACGAAAATACGACATCCCCAAAACCCCTTCACAACGAACTCTACCAACTCACAAATGTAGACCACATTAACGAGAGGCTGGAAAAACTTGTTACAGAAGTTCTCCAACAATGAAAGTAACTTGCAGATCATTCAAACCCAGTCCCATCCGAAGACACCCTACTGAGACCCCAACAAACAAGTTTATTACAAAATATTACACAATAGATATCAATGTACTTTACTTTTTGAGAAAATAGACATCTAAAACTTCTACGTTAATAATTGGAAGGGGTTCGAATTTGAAATTTGGATTGTTGAACTTGTATACTACAAAAATGATACCCTTGCTAAAATTCGATTACTCTCATAATTTCGAAAAAATTTCAGTTATTCAAAGCACCAGTTAAAAGATTCATACAGCGAAAAAAATGGATACAAGCAAATACACCTCAGTACATAGTTGGTCAGTCTGGGAGCTAGACGGCTCTGGCTTACTCAGTACAAAAAAAAACAAAGAAAAAGCTGATAGCACATTTCAATTTTTTTCGTCGTATAAATCTTTGTATACGTGGAAATGATGAAAATTCTCAACAATTTTAGAGAACTATCTGTTAATGATTTTAGTGAAAACTTAAATTAGATCTATGCTTATACATTAAATTACTAAAATCCATATTTTGTCGAAACCGTAAGAGTAATCAAATTTTATCAGGAGTAACTTTTTTGTAGTGAACAAGTTACGCAATCCGAATTTCATATTGGAACCCCTTTCTTTCCATTGGCATAGAAGTTTCAGATGTTTATTTACTGAAAAAATCAAGTTCTACTTCCATGA